TACGTCATCGCAAAAGCAAAAGTATACAAAAATATTACACAAGTAATATAGTCACCATCCCCAATCATATTTGGCCAAAGACTACCCCCAACTCGGTCAATTCTGCATCAGAATACGGAGCAGGTTTAAGGTACCATCTTAGGTTCAAAACCTTGGACTTTTGACACACGAAAATGTGAAGATGCTTGTTATCTCACATACTGCCAATAGCCATACAATTGCGAGAGCAGTATGCCGATTATGCTTTAATTTTCCCCATGCTAGTATACACTGGTGGTACGAGCCAATTGAAGGGAGAACTGATCCACCATTTACAAAGAAAGTCCTCAATTTTAGTTACAGTCTCCCTTTTGGAGTTGTGGGCTATTATTATCCTGGTTATTGCAACATTTGTGTTGCCAGACCCAAATTCAAAGTCGGCTACAGATATGGAAAGGTGGTGTTTGGAAGACTTGAAAAATGCTACACAGACCGTGAGTTGGCTTCAATCTACAAAGATCATCCATTCTGAGTGGATTTATTGCTGCTGTTATGTTATTTTAGGTGTTGTTCGTGGCGTAATTACCAAGTGCACGCCTTGGAGATAGACTTGCTATCATTTGACCATATGTGCCATGCTGGTTTTCGATGTTAGATGACAGCCCCCCTAAAAAGCTCATGAACAAGGGATTGAAGAAGCTTGAGGAATTGATTGAAGCACTCGAAGTGGAAAGAAATGAGGATCCTGAGAAGAAAAAGCAATGGTCTAAGTGAGGACACATGCTAGTTGTATTTTTTTTGATAGTAAAGTCTGTTGGTGAGAAGCATTGACATTGTCTTGGCTTATTTGCTACTTTATAGTTTTCATTAGTTTTAATCGAAAACGTGTTTGCTCAGCTCTTGACACCAATTCTTAATGTAACTTTTATCTTTGGTTCGTTCTCAATGGAGGCCAATGTCTTTCACTTAGGTGACTTGAAGTAATGATTACTTTTAGGGCGTGAGGCGTGATAATCACGTTTCAACCAATTTTGGAAGATTAATTCCATCAAACAGCTAGGAATCACCCTGAACCAGTCCTTCCATTACTCACTATTTCCAGGCAACGATCTGCCAACCAACGTGTTAAATTACCCTTTGTGCAGATTGAATAAGTGTATTTTGAGTCTGAAAATTTCATATTTATAGCAATATAGCACATCCAATTGAGACGCGAACTCCCAACTACAATGCTCAGTATCATCACGCGAAGTATACGGCCTCGTCTGTATAAACTCCCACCGACTTACTACTTTCACCGGCAGTTACATACTACTCGTCCGGTGCGAATTCATCAAATAGTTGAACAGTTTGTGGATGAGCTTAAAGATGACAACGAAAAGGATGATAAAAGCAAAGACAATCGCAACAACAACAACAACAAGAAGGAGTCAGCATTTGATCGCTTTAAATCCTTTCTCACAAAATGTCTCGAGACAATTGGTATAACCATTTCATCAGTTGGGGTATTGGGACTAGCCGGATTTTTGTACCATCGATTTTATAATGATCATGTATTGTGGAAGATGAATCTAGCCTTTGAAAAAGGCGACCCAGCGGCTCAGATAAAGATGCATACGCGGACCCACGATGATAGCAACGATCATTTCATCAATGCCCATTGGGTTGAAAGACCACAACAAAACTTACTTGATGAAATTATTGCTGGCAAGATTATTGGACGATATTTTCTTATTATTGGCGAAAAAGGAACTGGTAAGACTTCATTGATTATGGAAGCAATGAAGAAAGTAGATGGATATAATGTCACCATCTTTGATGCCCATGCAGATCCAGAAATTTTTCGTATTCGATTGGGGAAAGCATTGAATTTCGCCTTTAATGAAGATTACATTGGCTCATTGTTCTCGATAAGAGGGCCTAGAGATACCACGGCTCTTTTGGATATCGAAAGAGCGTTTAGCAAGTTGGAAGAATTGGCAATTCAACGTGTAGGTAAGATTAAACGACCCTTGATTATGATTATCAACAATTCACATTTGATTAAAGAGAATGAAGAAGGGGTCAAATTGTTGGAGTTGTTGCAACAAAAGGCCGAATCTCTTAGTGGACTGGGGTTGCTCACAATGGTGTTCAATAGTGACGACTATTGGGTTTATGAGAAACTAAAACAATTAGGCACTAGGTTAGAGTTGATAAATGTGCGTGATTTCAACCGATATGAAACTGTTAATGCGCTCAAATTCATTCGTCACCGGTATTTCCCGCTGGATAAAGTTTTGAAAGATGACATGTGTAATGCAGTTTACGATTTAATTGGCGGTCGGCCCCAACATATAACTCAAGTGGCTCGTCACAATGACATTATTAAAGCGTGTCACGAGATTATTGACCGAGAAAAGACTTGGTTTCTTAACCAATGCGGGTTACTTGGCCTGGATATGGATGACGATGTGATGGAAAGTGGTAAATTTTCGACTAGTGCCATGCTACTAATGAGGGAATTCGTTGAGATGGATAGAAATAGAATGAACACTTTGATTACTAGTGAGAAATCCCGAGACTTTACTGAACATCAGTTACCGGAGTTACCCCTTTGGCGAGCGCGTCAAATCATGACCCGTGCTGACTATATCCAGCGGTACGATAACTTGAATATATTCACCATGGATTCTGAATCTCGAGTGCGGGCAGATTCTGTACCCATGATGCGAGCGTTCCATGAGATTGCTTCACAACCCCATTTTGATGAGTTGTTGGAAGATACTATTGATCGAGTCGGTGATATCGAATCGTTGGGAAGGACAAGGGAGGTTGTGATGAAGGACTTGAATTTGGGTAGCAAGTATATGTTGCAACGAAACAATGGTGAAGAAGTGGCAATGACAATGATTAAATCAGCCAAAGAAGCTGATTTACATGGAGACTTTGACGAGTATAATGAAGAAGCAGAGAGCAAAGCCGACATATCAAGAGGGCGAGCAGAGACAGAGACGGAAGAAGACCATGTGGATGAGGATGATTTGTATTTGGAAGAGATTAACAGGAAAGATTCACGAAAATGGTGGAAAAAGAGGATGCAAAAGTTTGATCAGCTATATTTACCAGAAAAATATAGGCATGGCCATGAAGATGATATCGATTTAAATCGGGTTGATGAAAAGTAAACGAGGAATAGTTGTTGAACATTGGGAAGATTTTTACTTTCACGTATATATGTAAATGAAATTGACTCTTTTGCATTGATGAACTTGTTCTTTTTGCTTGCCCTTTTGAAAATTTTGTTACACTGTGTCTTCTTTTGTCAATTTTTGACCAACAAAAATCAATTGGTTGGGGGAGAAGAACAGAGCCATTATTCGACCACTTTCCCCTTCCAATGACGAAAAAAGCTAGCCCGTTATTTATTTCATCGAAAGACACGCTACAGCATATCCTTGACAGATACGACCATTTTCTATTTGACTGTGATGGTGTCATTTGGTTGGGCGAAGCGTTGATCCCAGGAGCTGCTGAATTCATCCAATTACTAGTAAACAACAATAAGCAGCTTGCCTTTGTTACCAATAACTCCTCAAACTCACGGAATACATATCTACGCAAGTTTGCCAAGCTAGGGATTCCCAATATCACCAAGGACATGTTATACCCAACGTGTTATTCAGCAGCTTTGGAAGTACGAGATCAATTGAAGGTGCCGTTGGGGTCGAAAGTATGGGTGTTGGGAGATCACGGGATTGAAGAAGAGTTACAAGAGATGGGGTATGTGACATTAGGTTGTAACGACCCAAAGTTGGATAATTTGGATTTAGACAGTTCGATATTAGAGGTTGATTCCGAAGTTAGGGCTATCGTTGTTGGGTCGACTAAAGAATTCAATTATATGCGGATTTCCCTGACTTTGCAGTACTTGCTACACAATGACAAGGAAATTCCCTTTATTGGCTGTAATATTGATCGTACATACCCTGGTCCACATGGATTAATTTTACCTGCCGGCGGTAGTGTGGTCAATTATATGTCCTATACCGCCGATCGAGATTTCATCAATGTTGGTAAACCAAGTACTCAATTTTTAGACATTATCTTGCAGGATAAGCACTTTGATAGAGATAGGACATTGATGATTGGGGATACGTTGTACACTGACATTAAATTCGGCAATGATGGGGGTTTGGGTGATGGGCGTGGTAGTTTGTTGGTGCTTTCTGGAGGTACAAAGTTGAAGGACTTGCAAAACTTAATTGATAGACAGAGTTCTAAACTAGATGAAAGCTTAGTACCTCTGTTTTATGCTGAATCGATAGGACAGTTAGCCCAGTTGTCATAGAGTAGTAAACATATAGATGATAGATTTTTGATTTTTGCACGCGCGTAAAATCCTCTCACAACCGAACTGATTACAATTCAACAGCCCCCACGCTACACGCCACAAACACTCTGACAGTTCAACAAATCGATATCTCACACATTATTTTATTTAATTTTGCCACCGACAACTACTCCAGACACAAATCACTTTTCAACTTTAAAACATTTCTATGTCCGATGTTTAATTTCACAGGGGAGTCAAAGAGACGGAATGTCAACTTGGGAGATAAAAAACGAACCGGGTTTGGTGGATTCGGCACCAATGCGTTTTTGGAACAATCACGTAAGGAACGAGAAGAACGGGAGCAACAACGACTTCGTGAGAAGTCGGCACTTACATTACAACAGTCGATCAAGCTATATTTAAAATCAAAGGATGAGAATCGGGAACTACTTGATGATTGGCTCATGACTGATTTCAACGAGGTTGAATTTTGGAATTACATATATCAATTCACGGTGATAGTACGATGGTTTACACTGAAGGGTCAGAGTGAACAGGAGGAATTAATACAAGTGGTGGAGAAACTATTGGGTGAGTTGAAAGGCGAAGAGTTGAAATTAGATATACTGGGCGAGAGAGTGGCAACTTTGTTTTATCTCGGCCAGTTTTTATCGAGCCGGCTTTCGTCCAGGGATGTAGACGATTCACTAAAACGGCCCATATTTGAACTCATCAAGGTGTTGCATACAAAGTACCACTTTGCTTCTGGCTTTTTGCTATCACAACTTGGCCAATATATTCAATTGCAACGGCAACAACTGCTGAACCAAGAGAAATTACATGATATTCTAGATTTTACATACATGATAGCTTGGCATCTACTCAATAGTCAAGCTTCATCTTTTGAATCTTCGATTGTTCAAATTCTTGCACTTGATGTCTACACCGGACCCAATGACTATTACTTGCAAGTATTGCGAGACTTCGCGATAAAGAAACAAACTCAAATCGATGAATATTTAAAAGTAAACGAATCTATGAGGGATAAAGTCTTGTACATGGTGGTCAATTTTTTGATTGTCCACGGTGGTGGTGACTTTGCCATTCAAGACTTGGAATTGATCCATCTTCTATTGAAATATAATCAAGCCATGGTGTTGGACAACTACCCCGATGATAGCGAATCGCAACAAATGAAGGATAAAGGGTTGAGTGCAATTGTTTTACCACCGGCGAAAATAGAGGTAATGAAAAGGATGTATACGGCTGGGTTTCTTCAAAAAGTGCTTAAATTGGTGCAAGAAAAACATACAGTATCTTTCGAGATACTTTCCAGACTCCTTGCGTTACAACCTTCATGGAAGCAGCTGGTTCTCAATCAAATTTGTATTGAGCCTAAAAATATATTAACGATTTGTGCCCATTTTCTTAAACGTGCTCAACAACTTTCAGAACCGTCGTTTGAATCGTTGGAGGAAGCATTTCTTTCGCATGACTTTTTTGATAGCTTATTGTTTTTTGAAGAAGTTTATTCGTACTGGCTTATAGTGTCCAACGATACTGAATCATTTGAACAAACAGGGATTAATGAGGAATTGGTGGTTGACTTTTGCAAATTTCTAAAACCTTTGTGCACTTGTTTGGTTATGAAGCCTGATTTAGGCACTAAATATGTTCGCCAAAAGACATTTACTTTAGTGGATCAGTTGTATTTGAAGAACTTGCGGTTGAAATTTCTCCCCGCTAATTTTTGGCTAACCGCGCAGCGAAACTATAATTTTGATAGATTACTTAGTTACGTCATTCAGGATTATACGGCAGATTTGGCTGGTGCTGATGATGAGGATGATGATGATAGAGAGAGGGAAGCGTTTTTACAAAATATGCCCAGTATTTATCGAGAAATGCTTACATTACTAAAACATGTCCCCTATTTTATTCCCTTCAACGATCGGGTTAAAATTTTCCAGCAATTGATCGAAGTTGATAGTCAGAATAGCTCACCGTACTGGGGGTTTATGGAACCACGGGTTAAAGCTGAAATTAGACGACAGAATTTACTACAAGATGCATTTGAAGCATTTAGTAAAATGGGCAACCTGTTCAAGAATAGAATTCAAGTGGAATTTTTCAATGAGTATGGACCCGAGGTAGGAATTGATGGAGGTGGTATTACCAAGGAGTTTTTAACCAGTGTAGTACAAGAAGGATTTGATCCAGCCCAGGGGCTTTTTAAAGAAACTTTAGATAATCAAATATATCCCAATGAGGAAGTATGTCTCAAGATGAAATTGGGACAAGATGTTTATGATGCAAGAGGCAAGTTGGAATATATTCAGTTTATGGGAATGTGTGTTGGCAAATGTTTGTATGAGAGTGTCTTGATTGATGTATCATTTGCTCCCTTTTTTATAAACAAATGGTGTATGGATGGATTTAAAAACACCATTAATGATTTAAGCTATCTTGATGGACAATTGTTTAAAAGCTTGATTAAATTGTCGCACATGTCCAGCGAGGAGCTACAAGAGTTGGATTTGGTGTTTGCCATTGATGAAAAAGTTGATGGTCAAACATACACTTTTGAATTAATACCCAATGGTAAATCGACCAAAGTCAACAAATCAAATGTTCAGTATTATCTTCATAAATTTGCCGACTTTAAATTAAACCAATTGTTATTGCCACAAACTAAAGCATTTCTTTCAGGACTATTTTCAATCATTCCGCGTAAATGGTTTATAATGTTTGATTATTATGAATTACAAATGTTAATCTCAGGAGGGAAAAAGGATGTTGATGTAAATGATTGGAAATTGAATGTGGAATATGGAGGATATTTATCTAATGATGTCAGTATTGGATACTTTTGGGAAATTGTTGATGAAATGACTCCACAAGAAAAGTCGAAATTGATTAAATTTGTCACTTCGGTGAGTAGAGCTCCATTGCTTGGGTTTTCGGCGTTGAATCCTAAATTTGGTATACGAAATTCAGGAAGAGATGTAACTAGACTACCGACAGCTTCAACTTGTGTTAATTTGTTGAAATTACCTGATTATCAAGATAAACAAATCATGAGGGAGAAATTGCTTTACGCTATAAATACCGAATCTGGATTCGATTTATCTTAAGAAAGAGAGAGAGAAAGAGAGAGATGGGGGTTAATAAAGTGAGTGCGTTAAATATTATACACGTTTATAGAAATAAAATAAAGAAAACTAACAATGGATCTGGGTGGCCAATATATATTGATCATCTTCTCGTCTTTCCCTTGTTCTTTAACAATACCTTTTGCTTAACCTTTTCAGTCTCCTCTTCACTTTCACTTTCACTTTGGCTTTCCATTTCTTCATCTTCACTCATCATCTCTTCATCTTCCTCCTCCTCCTCTTCCAATTCTTCCTCTTCTATAGCATTCTCCTTAGCTGCTTGTTTCTCGGCCTTTCTTCTCAACTCGACTTCTCTTAATCTCAACAACTCTGGATTATCTTCAACCAATTTCTTATCAGCAGCAAAATCTCTTTCCTTGTTATCCTTCATTCTATTCTTGTAGAATGCTCTTTCTCTCTTTTGTCTAATTTCTTCTATTCTGCTCATACCTTTCAATGTAGTAGCCACAAGATCTCTATTATATCTAACTGGAACATTTCTTCTAGCAGCAAAAGTTAAAGTCGAATCAACCACCAATTCTTTACCAGCAGCTTTTCTGAATGCTTTGGTCCATCTCAATTTACGTGGATTACGACGTTGTTTGAAGGCTTTATGACATTTTGAACGACAGAATCTAAATTCTTTAGCATCATTACGAACAAAAGTTATCCCATGAAGTGGGTATACAGGTGATGAACAGAAGTGACACTGATAAACTCTCATCTTATTCTTTTAGGTATGTAGTTGTGTATGTGTGTGTATGTGTATGTATATGTATATGAATGTAAATAGCAGTGGTAATTTTTCCCAAGTATGAATCTTCTCAAACAAATCTGCTCTTATGTATGAGGATGACCAGGCAGTAGAGTGGGTACTATTTCTTCTTTTCTTTTGGGGTTGTGTAAAAATAGGAAAAAGGAATATATTATATATATTTGAGATGAGTTGAAGAAATTCTTTTTCTTCTTCTTCGAGATGTTTTGTGTTACAATTCAAATTGAAACAAATTTTCCATCCAAAGATCATCAACTACTAGACCAGACCAGACCAGACCAAACCAAGCCAAACCATAAGTTCAGTCTACTTACTCCTTTATACCTACACATATCATCAGCTATAGAACATATCAATTATGGCACCTTTACAAGCACCTATACTTCCCATACCTGGTGAAACTGACCAAGCACAACAGCAGCAACAACTTCAACAACAACAACAGCCACCATATTACACGGGTCAACTTCAAAAGAAACAAGCAGCAGAAGGATCAGTAGAATGGTACTTTGATCAAGGAGCCAACTGGATGGGTGATCATCCATGGATAACTGGGTTTGGTGCGTTGACAGTTGCTTATTTTGCCGCTGGATTAGTTAAGTCGAACAAACCTGGTCTCAATGGTAAAGCCTTCCATAGAGGTGGATTTGGATCTAAAATGACTCCCAAGGAAGCATTATTGATTTTGAATTTGAAAGAAACCAATTTAAGTAAAATGAAATTAAAAGAACAACATAGAAGATTAATGATGGCAAACCATCCTGATAAAGGTGGATCATCATATTTGGCGACCAAAGTAAATGAAGCTAAAGAATGTTTGGAGAAGAGAGGTGGAATGAAGGCCAAGTAAGAAAGGAGTGTGGTGTGTAATGAGAGAAGAGGGTCGTAGAAGTGATGATAGATTTATAAACGGTGACCAATTGGTAGTAATACTACTATATGTATATATATATATATACATATACCTTGTGAATAGTTGTGATTTTAGTAATACGATTTAGTATTTAAAGAGATCTTACACAATGAAGAGTTGAATCGTAGTACCTATTGGCCAACAACTAAAGATGTAGATGTAGATATAGAAAGTGTAGTTGAACCAATAACGCCGAGATTTAAAAATAGCCGACACTCTTTGTCACTCACTCAACAGACAGACAGAAAGAAAAAAAAACTTACACAACAACACAACAACAACACATCACGACCAACTATCATTGAAGTCAGACTTTTTCTTAATACACACCACTACTTGATAAACACTCAGCCTCCTCTTCCATAGTCATATCATATTAGCTCTAGCAACCACACACACACCTTGAATTCAAACACAGATCAAGAAACAATTCATTGCTAAGCATTCCTCCCAAACTTCCAAGCCTCGATTCAATTCAGTTCAGATGACCACTTATGAGAAGATCGTAAAGGGGGCGACAAAAGTCAAAGTGGCTGCTCCGAAATCAAAGTACATTGAGCCAATATTGATGGCTACATCTATAGATCACTCAATTGTGTCGGCCGATAACTTTAATACCATAATGAGATCATTACAACAGAGACTACGTGATAGTTCATGGTCAGTGGTTTATAAATCATTAATTGTTATCCATCTTATGATTAGAGAAGGTGATAGAGATGTCACGTTGAAATATTTAGCTGATCAGGGCCATTCAATGTTGAATTTGTCCCTGAGCAACATTGCTAGCAACAATAGTGGCAGTCTTAATGCTGATGTCCGGTTAATTATGAAGTATTCCAAATACCTACACACCAGAGTCAAACAATATGATGCTACTGGGATTGATTACGTGCGCGATGAACGATCAAATAATAGTACTACACAAGAAGGCGGCAGATTACGATCATTAACCATTGAAAGAGGATTATTGAGAGAGACGGAAAGTGTTCAAAAACAAATTGACTCGTTACTCAAGAATAGTTTTATGGAGAATGATATAAACAATGATATAGTTTTGACCGCGTTTAGATTGTTGGTGAATGATTTATTGGCATTATTTCAAGAACTTAATGAAGGGGTGATTAATATATTGGAACATTATTTTGAAATGTCAAAATACGATGCTGAACGATCGTTGAAGGTTTACAAGAAATTTGTTGATCAAACTAAATACGTTATTGATTATTTACGAGTGGCTAAACACCTTGAATATGCTACTAAGTTACATGTTCCAACTATTAAACATGCACCAACGGCATTAACGAGCTCATTGGAGGAGTATTTGGATGATCCTAATTTTGAAATTAATCGTCGTCAGTATTTAGCAGAAAAGGGCAATAAAAAGAACATTGATAGTCCCAAGAAGCCTATTTTCAATACCAGAGATGAGGTAAAACCCACAGCTCAACAACAACAACAACAACAGCAACAACAAGTGCAACAACAACAACCTGCGCAACAAAATATCAGTAATGGTAGTGCCAGTGGAGTTGATAGACATGCATCTTTAGTGGTCCAGCAAACTTATAACCCATGGAATAACATTGCCATACCAGTGTATGCCCAAGCATATACACAAGGGCAAGTAGACCCCTTCCAGCTTCAGCAACAGCAACAGCAACAGCAACAATCCCAGTTACAAGCTCAGCAACAAGCACAGGAACAAGCACAACTTCAAGCGCAACAACAGGCTCAACAAGAGCAAGCACAACAACAAGCCCAGCTTCAAGCTCAACAACAGCAACAACAGGCCCAGCTTCAAGCTCAACAACAGCAACAACAGGCCCAGCTTCAAGCCCAACAGCAGATCCAACAACAACATACTTTTGGCCACCAATCAGGAACTTCGTTGCCACCGATATTTCAAGGACAGCAATATCAATCACCTATGCACACTTCATATACAGGTGCTGGTTTTGGAGGATATGGTAGCCAAACAACTTTACAGCCTCAACAAACCAACCCTACACAACAATCATTACAACCATTACAACAACAAAATACCAATCCCTTTTTGCAACTGGCACAAAATACCCAACAACTACAACAATTTACTTCCACGCAATTCCAACAACAAACGCCTTTACCTTTACAGCATCAAAACACCAATCCTTTTTTTCAGCAAGCACAACAGGCACAAACAGCCCCAGCTGCACCACCACCACCACAACAACAATTTACGCAACAGTTTACTCAACCTCAACCACAACAGCAGTTGTATCAACAATCGCAATCAAGTCCTGGATTGCAAAGACAAAATACTAATCCATTTGCAAAATTAGTTACTGGTCAACAAAATACGCAACAACCACAGGGTATTTTTTTCGGACAACAAACTGGTTCACAACAGCAACCAATTCAACCGTTGCAACATCAATCCACAAACCCATTTGCCTACCGTGCTTTTGATCCAAATACTGATAGTTTGATTTAGAAAGGTCACGAGATAGATAATGGAGGTGAGGTGAGGTGAGGTGAGGTGAGGTGAATGGTTAGGGCAGACATGGACCAACAATTTGCTTAAAATATTTGTTGCCAAATTTGGAATGATTAGTTTTAAAGTTTTTATAGAGTCTTTTTTTGTACAAAATTTCACACATACATATACATACATATGTGAATATATATATTCACTAATTATGTCAAATGAAGTCTTCTCAAAATACAGTAAAAAAGAATACCCTATAATCCCATTGCCCATAATTCCTCATTATACCCTTCAGTCACATTTGCATTCTTACCATACTCTCCTTGCCATCGATTAAACCCGCCTTTCAATACATACACATGAACTTCATTCTCCAAATACAGCTTCACCTTTTCATCTTTAATTTCATCAATTGATCGTAAAAACTTTAAAGTTGAAGAAGGACCTCTTGATTGCGATAACATACAATGAAATACAACATCATGAATTTTTTGCCTATAGATCTTTTGATAAATTTCCGGTAACGTACTGTAGAAATCACCGGCTGGATAGTGCCAACTACCCTTGATGTGACCGCCCATATAGTCAGATTCTCGAACATCAATTATTGCCAAGGGGCCGCTTCCACCATGAGGTGATGCGTTTTTGGTGATCCACGTGTATAGGGTAGGTGGTTTGATGAATTTTAGGTCTGAGATTGAATGTATACGTGACATATGAAGTGCTGTGTATTATGAAAAAGTACAAGGGAAACTATTCAAAGATGGGGTTTTGATTTGGTATAGGTACAATTGTGATAATCATTTGTGAATGATATATGATGTAATAATTTTTAGTGCGGTAGAAATTAAAGCCATGGCGGAAAGAAGGGGTCGGGAATGCAACCGTTTTCTTTTTGTCTTTTGGGTCGATGGACGTCGTCCCGGAGTTAAGTTGTGAGTGTCATTAATTATTACTTTCTACTTCTACTTCTACTTCTACTTCTACTTCTACTTCTACTTTCTATTGTCACATTACATTTTAAGCACACTAACATTCACTCATTCACTCACTCACTCACTCACTCACTCACTTGCAACAACAACAACAATAACAACAACAACAAAAAAAAACCTTTTTACGAATCAATTTTTTTTTTGAAAAAGTTCATTTCAAATCAGTTGATTTCTTTCAATTGGAGTTATTTCTATATTTATAGCTTTTTTTACTTTAAAGCAATCAACCGTAATCCTTATTTTCACAATGGTTAGATTGACTAGAAAACAGACTATTGAAAATGAGTTGAATGGTTCCCCATTAACAAAAACTCTTTCAATGGAATCAATATCTTCGTTGTTTAAACGCAAGAGAAAGAGAGGTGAAGATGATACTGACACAAATAAATCAACATCAGACAATGAAGATGTTACAGAGATGGAAGAAGATGCCACTGAAGAAGGAGAGGAGAAATCAGATGATGTTCACCATCATAACAAGAAAAGAAGGATTAAAACAAAAGAGGAAGAAGAGTTTGAAGCACGTGAAAAGGAATTAGACCAACAACTTCCACCTGAACTTAGAAAATATAGACCAAGAGGTTATTCTTTCAACTTACCACCACAGGGCAGGCCAATTAGAGTTTATGCTGATGGTGTATTTGATTTATTCCATTTGGGTCATATGAAACAATTGGAACAAGCTAAAAAAGCATTTGATAATGTTGAATTGGTTTGCGGAATTCCGTCAGATGTCGAAACTCATAAACGTAAAGGGCTTACTGTGTTGACCGACAAACAAAGATGCGAAACTTTGAAGCAATGCAAATGGGTTGATGAAGTTATTCCTAATGCTCCATGGTGTGTAACTCCGGAATTTTTGCAACAACACAAGATTGATTATGTTGCTCATGACGACTTGCCATATGCCAGTTCTGATAGTGATGATATCTATAAGCCTATAAAGGAGGAAGGCAAGTTTTTAACCACACAAAGAACAAAAGGTATCTCCACCTCAGACATCATAACAAAGATTATACGTGATTATGACAAATATTTAATGAGAAATTTTGCTAGAGGCGCCACAAGAGAAGATTTAAATGTTAGTTGGCTTAAAAAGAATGAACTTGAATTCAAAAAACATATTAATGATTTTAGAACCTACTGGATGAGAAACAAGACAAATATCAACAATGTCAGTAGAGATTTATATTTCGAAATCAGAGAATTTATGCGTGGTCGTAAATTCAATGTCAAGCAGTATTTGGAAACTCACCAAAATGGAGGCCTAAGAAGACTTAATAACAATTCTGCAAACAAGTCATTGACTACTGATGATGAAGATGATTCACCGACAAAGGGAAGTCCATTGTCAGATTTTGCTTCAAAATACATTGGCAATGCCAACAAGGAATTAAACAAGACGGGAAAAGCGTTTATTTCATGGATACAAGGCGACAATGATGATGAAAATGCTTATGATGAGGATGCTGATGAGATTGAAGAGGGAGACGAAGAAGAAATTAAGCCAATTGTAGTCAAGCCAGTGAGAAGAGCTAGACGCAGAAGCAGTAGTGCCGGTAGCTCTGTTGGTATGGCTAGTACTCCAGTCAAATCGAAATCAAAATCAAGTGCATCAAAGAGTTCACTGACAACTACCCCAAAAGCAACAGCCACAGCCACAGCCACAGCCACACCAAAATCAAACACAACATCACAAGCAAAGTCTCTGGCTACACCAAAGACTGCCCTGGCCACACCAAGAAAGAAAACTCCAAGAAGTAAAGCTTCCACCAGTTAAGGTACTTTTGTTTTACATATATATATATATATATCTACTGCATAATTTTGTAATTTATAATATTCCGTCTTTTGTATGTGTGCAGTTCTATCGTAGAGTTGGATTGTATCTCTTTGTTTGGTTATGTAAACTACTCTTGTCTGGTGATAAATATCGCCAAAAAAGTGAAAAAAAGGCGTGAAGAATTATCACCTTATCAAATTACAAGCATATGCCGGACGAACTGATACTCTCCTCTGAATCAACTGCTATGACATCAGACCTTTCAACAATAGATCTACCGACGTCTCAATCACAACCGTCTAAGGAGGAAGTTCAAATACAACTTTTACAACAATTACAAGAACAATTAAAAGTACAACAAGATCTTTTAAATCATCAACACGAAGCTTACATCTTGGATCAAGCTAAACAGCAGCAACACTTGCAACCCGATACTTTACATGCACCTCCACATAATCAACAAGCCACCCATTGGAGTTTCACCCAGGGCTTGATAATTGGTCAATTGAGCGTCATTTTCGTTGTCATTATCTTCATAAAGTTTTTTGTGTTTGCTGATTCGTCAAGCACTCCATCAAAGACAATTATACGTGATGCATCAGGAGTGATAGTTAAACGAGATAAGAAGCAAACTGGTGGTAGTAACAGCAGCAACAATAACAATGGTAATAGCAATAACCAACGCAATTCTTATTTAAATCGAGAAGAAGCAGATGCATCAGCTGAAGATGAACGATTATTGAGCAATCGAGCCAAAGTATCGGCCATTTTAGAAAAGACCTACTATGACGTTCATAATCATTCTTCAGAATCGTTGGATTGGTTTAATGTGCTTATAGCACAAACTATTTCTCATTTCAGAACCGAGGCATTATTAGCTGATAATATCTATCATTCGTTGAATGATTTTCTCGATCAAACTGAATTACCCGATTTTATGGATAAAATTACCTTGACTGAAATTGATATCGGTGATGATTTCCCCATTTTTTCCAATTGTCGAATCAAGCAAAGTAATGAAGATACTGGACGATTAGAAGCTAAAATTGATGTTGATTTATCGGATACATTGACATTGGGCATTGAAACGAAGTTGTTATTGAATCATCCACGGCCATTGACTGCGATTTTACCGGTGGCTTTAACTGTTTCGTTGGTGAGGTTTTCGGGCTGTTTGACTGTGTCGTTGATCAACACTAATGATCAAGAATTTGCTGATCTGAAGAATATCAATAATAATAATAATAACGACCACGAGACTAGCTCTTCTTCAACTATTAATGGCGAAAGAAATGGTGTCCAACAGCAACAGAGCAATGATAACGGTAATGGCGTTGGAACTGCATTGATGTTTTCATTCTCACCTGATTATCGACTAGAATTTGTCGTCAAGTCATTAATTGGATCAAGAGCCAAACTACAAGATGTGCCGAAAATATCCTCCCTTGTTGAAAACAGATTACGAACTTGGTTTATTGAACGATGTGTTGAACCTAGATTTCAAGTTGTTAGATTGCCTTCATTGTGGCCAAGGACGAAAAATACTAGAGAGCCAATTAAAGTTAAAGAAGGCGACGAATAGTGCTGGTTTTTGGAATGTATGGTTCTTTAAATTTATATGTGTATGTATAAATATATCTCTTTATGTACAACTATATGAAAAATTGAGAATCCAATTATGATGTAATGCAGCTGAAATACCTCTGAACCAATTCTTTCAGATGACATCAATCATCAAAAGCTTGGTGTTCTAGATGATGACAAGGAGCAACGCAAAAAAACTAGGAACTAAGTGGCTGCATCCACCAACGTATTGGACAGAAAATGGTACAGTTGTAACAGTAGGAAATACAGTGGTTGAGATTGATTCAGTTTCCAAAGTAGTCATTGTTTGTAAAACGGTTGTTGATTGACTCGACTCAGCAAGATCTGTAATGTGACTTGACTCAGCATGGTTTGCTACTTCGCTTGATTCAGCTTGGTTTGTTGACTGGCTTACCCTTGAATAGGTGTCACTTTCATCAAGAGAAGACATTGTCCCATTGTAACCAGCAGCCGAAGTAGAGGATGTATAGTCACTTTTCTCCAATGAACTCAATGTGACAATTGTTTTCATAGTCGCATTGCTTTCACTATAGCCAGGTTCATCACTTAAACTAGTCTCGGTGGTTTGTTTGCTCTTTGAGGTGATAGTTGTCAACAATTCAGTCGTTTTTGTAACTTCCAACCTAGTAGTTTTAAATGCCGTAGCGCTTTCACGTTGGTCTTCAATTATTGTACTGGTACATTCACTAGATTCAGGTAAAGTTTGGTCAATGGATGCAGAATGATGACTAATTTGTGAAGAATTCCAGAAAGGGACCACTGTATGTGTCTTTTCAGTTGTTGTAGTTTCTGATACTAACTGACTTGTGATGGTGGTACTAATGACTCCTCCGACAGATGGATCCCCACCAGCACTAAGATTAGTCACATTGGTTGAGTTGGCAAATGAAGCCGATCCTTCACTAATTGGCTTGCTTTCAAGAACTGGATCACTGATTGAAAATGCTTCTTCTGAAATTAATGCAGTCACCATAGTTCCCATCACCGTAATTGACCCTTCTATAGTAGGAAAACTTGCTGATTGAGTGGGCAAGTTCAAAATACCAGTCACAGTCGTGTAATTTGCAATAGCAGGCAAGCTCTCCAAGGCGCTAGTTGCAATGAATGATAGTTCCTCTGTTTTATATGAAGTATACGAGTCACTTTCATTATGTTTCCTTGTTGTGGACTCAGAGTAGGAATATGAATCAACCACCGATACATTTTTCGAATAGGAATACTTCATTGACAAAGCATCAGTTATCTCCGTAACAATGTAAACTGCAGTGGCTTCAAGAGACATTGAATATTCTGAAATGGATGATGAAACGTTAGCCAACGTTGACGAGGTTGGCAATGCAGATTCAGTTGAATACACTTCTGAGTCTAAGTCCGATGGGGTTTCGAATGAATTGGTTGACGAATATGATGCAACTTCTGTGGTGCCGGTGCATGAATCTGAGTCTGAGGTACTCACAACTGCTTCAAGTGAGAATGATTCAACTTCAGTTGAAGATGTACTTGCTTGTGAATTTGTGATGGATTCAAATGGCTGAACCGACGAAACAACTCTAACTGAACTGGCACTTGAATTTGAATTGAAAGAAATGTACGAAGAACCCAAAGCAGTTTCCACTGAAGCTGTCAAAAAATTCAAAACTGATACAGAAACAATCTCTTCTGATGAAGTAGTAGCCTCTTCTGATGAAGTAGTAGCCTCTTCTGATGAAGTAGTAGCCTCTTCTGATGAAGTAGTAGCCTCTTCTGATGAAGTAGTAGTTTCCTCTGATGAAACAGTAGTCTCCAATGCAGTTTCTGTTAATCCAGTGGGCAAGTATGAAGTTCTCACATTGGTTCCATTTTTGGTATTGCTTACTACTGAAGTAACATTCTCTATGGAGATGGTCGTTGCAACGGTAGCTACAGTGGTATTCCACATTGAGCTTGACTCAAGTTCACTATCTTGAGATTTAGTCTCTAAGGAGGATTGTGCAGATGATTCATAAACCAATTGATGATAAGTTGTGTTTGTGGACTCAAGCGATGACTCGTATCTTGACTGAACCAGTGGCTCGATTGCTGTTCCCTCTGATGCTTCAGCTAAATTAGTGGCATACAACAGATAAACAATTTCAGATGTTGATAAGGAAGTTGAATTAATAGTGGAGAAATGCGTAGACTGAGTGCTCGATATTGGGGACGAAACGGTTGATTCTGTGCTGTGTTCACTATTGTATTTATCACCAGAGACTATTGCGGAGTTTAATGAGGATTTAGGCGTACCTGTAGTAGTTTGTTCAGTCGATGTTTCTGTGATGTTGTACTTCGACCACTCTGAAGTTTGTTCGTAGTATGATTCTGATTCTGTGGTTATATCGGTTGAGAACGCAATGGAAGTTTCGACGCTAGTTTCAGAAATTGACATCGTAGATGAGCTATCAACAGTTGCAAGTGTTGACATCTCAATGTGCTCAGTAAATAATCCAGTGTTGGCGGGAATTTCAATCAGCGAAGACGAAGATGATGCAGCAACTTCAGACTTTAAGCAAACTGGAATTTTCCAGCAAAAGTTGGGAATAGTTAAATCCAACGTCTTACTATTGTCGAGTACAAAATGGTGATCCATATCTTTGTCGTCTCTTGCATTGGCATTAGCAAAATCGGTATTCACAACGTACCTAAAAGTTGAGTGGAACATCTTTGACCACGATGACAACAGCGATGTGGTTTGATAAGTAAACCCAAAATCATCAGGTAGACAGTAAAGACCCCCGTGCACCGAAGGAGTAATGAAGACAGTCGCATTTATATCGAATGGGTTGCTGTAGTTGAATTTAGCACCAATACCAAATAGTCTCAAGGTGTATGCAACAACATTATTTAAAAACCCCAAGTCAACAGTAATTGACCCATGTCCAAGCATTTCCAATAATTCTGTAGGATCAAGGATCGATTTCATGTGGAAAGTAATCTTCCACAGCGAATCTTTGACAAATTCAACTTTGGAGACTTTGAAATCCATTTTTGGAGAGCCTTTCACATCGGTAGTTCTTTTGTAAATCCAGTCAATGCCAGCAAGCGGGTTCAAGAAACCAGACAGGGGTTTACCAGTATGAGATTCTGAATTGCTTGTTTTCGTCAATTCAATTTTCTTCGTTTCAGTGGTTGTCACCTCAGTATGACTTGGAAGATCACCCTCTGGGGCCGAGACTGTGGAGTGAGTCCAATCAGGAATCCCAAAGGTGAACCCATAGAAGTCCGTAGAACTTCCATCCTCAATACCCACCAGTGGAAATGAAACTTGAAGCGATGATTCGATCGATGGACTTGAAAAGGAATTGGTTGTTTGAGATGGTACATCTAGATCGCCATCAACATTATTAGAATTTTTTGGAAATTCTTCAATATAATATGATACATCTTGTCCTAAACAATTGAATAAATCGGCATCTAATGTAGTAACATCAACTGCATCATACTTGATGCTATTGGTAAAATCAAAATATTCATCCAACTGTTGACCTCCTTTTCCATTTATGGTAGCAGCAACAGTCACGTGAGACACCATACAAATACAAGCGACAAATGTAGGAGTTATTCTTTGCATCAACATGGTTTGGGATGTTTTATCAAGTTTAGAAAGCTGTTAGTATTTTGATAGAGCGACTTTCAGGAAGTTTGTCCTTGCAATTAAGGACAGTTCTACCTCATTTTATATTCCAATGCTTATTGTGAAAAACCTTTTATGAATATAATACTCTTTTGCACCCAAATTACCACTGAACGGTATTTCTATACTCGGGGAATTGCCAAAATATTCTCTTCAGACCTCAACAATTTATAATAGTTGGTTATAATAATATCAGTTTAATGAACTCTAAAAAGAATATTTTGGTAATTCCCCGACTAGTTAATAACATAAGAATATTTTGGGAATTCCCCGAGTGGGTTATAAAATGAGAATATTTTTTTGCAACAATTTCCAAGAAAATATTTTCCTTTACAAAACATACGCCATTGAAAGAAGATATTACTAGCCGGGGAGAGATGAATTTAGGGAAACAGACACCTTAATACTGGATCAAAGAATAATCAACTGTGAATAACCCTCTTTACTGGTTTCTGTTGGACCCTTTACCTTTAAAGTTTGATGTAAAGCGATGCTATTATGCGACATATAAGATCGAATGATTCCTTTGAAAACATCAGCTGTTGCGTAGCAAAATAATTACAATCTCTAGTTTGGTTCAAGTTCATTTTACCAAAATAAGCTTTCCCCAATTCTATTTCAAGAAAGTTTATGTCGAAACTTTTAAGATTCAGTCCCCGGTATACGCCTGTCCAATTTTCAAGAGTCCACTGTGTATTATGTTTCCGATGTAGTTACAATTATGGGTTACAAAAACAACCTTGAAACTGTTCCTGTCTACCCTTGAAAATGTCTACGTTTTGTTTTTACCTCTCTAGTATAGTTACCTAAGCTGAAAGTAGCTATTGGACTTGAAAAGGAATTACTTTTACCAACGAATGACATTTTCAAGTAGATTGTAAGCAACTCTTTGCCACAATTGTTGATTAACAGCCACCTGTTATCACTAAGCTGTTTGTCGACAATTTGTTATAGTCGAAACCATCGAGTCTTGGATTTGAGTATATCCTACAAGATACTTCATAGAAAACGTTATCATTAGTGAAAGTAGATACACCAAATATGGATTCATCGTAGTCATAGAAAAGACAATTGGTATTACATTTCTCTCGTGCTATCATATTGGTCAATGCACTGTTCTTACTGAACTAAACCTGTGACTGAGGCTGAGATTGAGGCTAATCTCATCACTGTCGGCTAAAGAGAAAGGAAAAAAAAAAACAACGCTTCAGGAAACGAAGAAAATTTTTGATTACACTAAGGCACTATTTTACACCACCAACACCAACAACAACAGTAGCAGCCATTGAAGAAAATCAGGCACAAATGGCCACCATGATCAATTCAAGCTTAATACTCGAGTGCTTTGCCGGAACTTTAGTCACTGATGTCAATACTAGAACACAAGCCGAGGCAAAACTTCGAGAGTTGTCTATACAACCAGGGTTTCTTGGATGCTGTCTCGACATTCTAGCTCAACCAGATACGCCGGCTCACGTAAAGAAGGCCGCTGCTGTTTATTTTAAAAACAGAGTGATTAAGTTCTGGAACATCAAAGATGTGTCAAATACACTTCGCATAGATAATGACGAAAGACCAGTTATAAAAGACCGATTATTACCAGTGATTCTTGTCTGTGATTATCACATTAAACAACAATTGATCCCTGTGTTGCGATTATTGATTTCATTGGAGTTTGATAATTGGAACCTGTTGTTGCAACAAACTGGCGAATTATTATCTCAGCTGCAAAACTCAGAAGATCATTTGTACACGGCCATGTTGTGTTTCAAGGAAATCGCCAGAAAGTTCAAGTGGACTGATAATGAAGTTAAAAAGCAAAAATTTTACTCCATTATTAATCAAGTATTTCCCTACTTGTTAACAATTGGGAACTCAATTGTGAAAAATGTAGCCGACGGAGAAGAGATTACTGAGCTCAAAGCAGAGATTTTGAAAATGATACTCAAGTTGTACAAGTATGTGACATATTATGACTTTCCAGAGCAATTACGAACCAGAGACCAAGTGTTTGCTTGGGGTGAATTTCATGCATCTGTAATCAATATGCGTCCTCCAAGTTATGCCACTGGGTTAGACATATCTGAGCAGGAGAAGTCTTTCCTACAAGTTTCTAAATGTTACAAATGGGCTATTGCCAATATTTTGCGTTTATTTATACGATATGCATCATCCAATACCTTGAGCAGAAAGGTTTCTTACAAAGAGTTTCATGATTTATTCATCTCCGAGTTTATCCCTCATTTCATTCAACAGTTTTTAACAATCATTGAGGAATACTGTCAGGGCAAAAGATGGCTAGGAGTGACAGCACTCTATCAGATTCTCGAGTTTTTAAGTCATTGTATTATTGAACTGTCTACTTGGAAATTGATTAAACCTTATTTTGAAACTTTAATTACGCATTTGGTATACCCAGTAATTGTTCCAACTGATCAAATTTTGGAAATTTATGAAGAGGATCCTCAAGAGTACATCAATTTGTGCTTTGATATAACAGGGGACTACGACAATGCAGAATCTGCCGCTTTGGGATTTATCGCCACTGCTTTACACAAACGAAGGAAATCATGTTTGAAACCAATCACCAATCTAATACAAACCGAATTGACCCAATTGCAACAAGCTCAAGAGGAAACTTTGGAAGCGGCAAAGAAGAAGGAAGGTTTGTTGAGAATCTTGGGAAACATCTCGGGATATTTACCAAAGGATGCATCAATTGAGCCAATGTTGTCGTCATTGGTTATTCCTAATTTGAATTCGAAATATGATTTCCTTAAGGCGAGAGCAATTGAAGTTTGTTCACAATTTTCCGATGTTACATTCACCAACCATCAAACTTTGTCGATATTGGTTCGTGGCATTTTGCAAAACTTTGATGATCCAAATGCAACGTTGCCAGTTCAATTCAATAGTGCTTTGGCAATACAGGCATTTATCCCCGTTGATGAATTTAAGCAAGTATTGGCAACGATTGTTTTGCCAACCATGTCCAAGCTCTTGGAAATGTCGAACGAGATTGATAATGACGCCATTTCAGTAGTGATGCAAGAGTGTGTTGAGAATTTCTCAGAACAGTTGCAACCATTTGGAGTCGATTTAATGAGCAAGTTGGTGTCTCAGTTTATGCGTCTTGCGGTTGAGATTAACGATGCTGCTCAAGTTGATGTTGATGATTTCGATGGCAGCTATGACGACCAAGGCGATAAGTCAATGGCAGCTGTAGGGTTCATCAACACCATGATCACCGTCCTTTTGTCATTTGAAAATTCACAAGAAATTTGTATCAAGTTGGAAGAAATATTTTCTCCGGCTATTGAATATGTGTTAAGTCATGAAATGGATGAATTCTATGCTGAAATTGGTGAATTGATGGATAATTCAATCTTTTTGTTGAGAACAATCACTCCATGCATGTGGTCCAGTTTTAATTTATTATACAAGAGTTTTGAAAACGGATCGGCATTAATGTATGTCGAAGAATTGACGCCATGTTTGCAAAATTTTTTAATTTTTGGTAAACAAGAAATCAAGAGTAATGGAGCATTGGCTGAGTCGATGTATTCCATATTGGAAATGATTTCATCCGATGCAGATGAATTGAGTGTTGCTGACTTGAATATCGCTTTTGAAATTGCGCAGACTTTTGTGTTGAGCTTGGAGGATAATGCCACTCCTTTTATTGCTAAATTGATTGCATTTGATCTTGAAAATTTTGACAAGTTGGAAACCAGAAAATTGACCAGTGCTTTCGCTATTAATGCCCTTAATGTAATTATTGCATCGTTGATTTACAATTGTCAAGACACAATCTCCTTGCTTCAACAATCCAACCACTTGGTGCGGTTTTTCAACAAATGGTTTGAGGTGATTCCGCAATTATCGAGAGTCTACGATTTAAAATTATCATTATTGGGGTTGATAAGTTTATCGAAGCTTGATAGTTTACCGCAAGAAATTGTTCAAGAGATATCTCCCAAGTACGTCAAGTTACTAAAGTTACTATCAAAGGCGATTCCCGAGTTGGAAAAGAAACGAAAAGACATTGATGGTTTAAATGGTGACAATCAAGGTCTTCCGACATCAACTAGTTTTGTTAATGACGGTGATGACGAATGGGAAGAAGATTTCGATGATATTGAAGCCAATGAAGCAGGACACGAGGATCAAGATACAAAACTCACTTCTCGGGGCAATGGAGGAGGAGGAGAAGATGATGAAGAAGATCTAGATGAGGATGCCATCCGCCGATACACTGAACTCCTCGAATCAGAAAATGCTGATTTAGCTGCACTGGGTTTCTTTAGCTCAAGTGATGAAGAAATATTTGAAGATCCTTTAGCTACCACGCCATTAGATGAAGTAAACATATTTGAAGTTTTCAAATTGTATTTACATGATCTTCAGCAGAACAATGTAAACCATTTTCAGAAATTGTTTGGTAATTTAAGTGAAGATGATCAGAAGTTGATTGTTGACTTGATCAACATGTGAAGATGATGGATTTGAGGACTGAACAGTAGGTTGATGTAAGATGTCAGTTTTAGCTGCACGAATTTTCATACTCTAGCTGCCACATTATCCATGTATAAAGCTATTATTAAAAAAAAAAAGAGGAAGTATTTATAGAACAAGTTGATGTAAAAATAGCCTGTTCATGTAAGAGAACCAAAAATAGGAGTAATTCCTCTGCTTGCAATAAAGCATGATTTGGGGTAAAGCTGCTTAACCAATTGATTAAAAGGAGTGCTCTCTTTTTCCTCACAAAGCTATTTTTAGGACTTTTCAAGGTCTATTTAAAGCAAACCACACCCTTTGGTTGAGGCTTGGGGAGATGTATTTAAAATATAAGCGTCAAAGCCTCTCTTCCCGGTTACTGATTCTATTTTTAATACTTTCTATAATTAGTGATAGGGTAAAAAGCACAAATAACCGGGACCAATAGGGGTTGCATACAATGAAGCTATTTTTAGACATTTTTTGTAACCTATAATACGACGGTTCCCCACGATAACAACGACACTGCCATCCGCAACGACCACAGAAGCTTTGCTTATTGTTAAGAGAGACCGGTCGGGAAAGGAAAAGGAAAACAACCAGACGGTTATGTAAGCTCAGCCTTGATTGTGCTATAAATAGTTTGACCAGGGTTGGCCGATTTGATCAATGCCACAATTTAGATATGCGCACAGCTAGTAATGAAATCAGTTGTTAGGCTCCTTTACATGGTAACTTCATCTAAGCGTCCAAGTTAACACAAGGCGGTTACATTGTAAAAGTACAAAGAAGCAAAAATAAAAAAAAATACAACTGTTTGTAGGTGGTTCTTATTGTGTATGTGTAACAAATGTGCACGTGTTGTGGCACTTGTATACGAGAAGAGTTTTTAGACCCAAAAGCTAAATTTAGATTGGAAAGAACAATAGGGAAACCAATAAAAATTAAACGCTTATTGTGTTTTGCAATAATATACAAAACCACAGTTTCAGATTTACTCATCTTGTAGAGTCTACTGATGTGGTTGCTAGGATGCAATCATTAGTAGCCGAGAACGAGCAGAAGGTGTGGCTACAGATGCAAGGAAGAAGAGTAAAACTATTGTCATTAGTTGAAATGTGCATGTAATTATAGAAATTTAGACGCCGTAAAATGAAGTTAATTTGTGTAAAAGCCCCACGAGGGACAAAAAAACTTCTAAATACCTGCTGAGGAAGTTTTTAACGTATTTTGCATTATCCATTAGTTCACACAAAAACTAAAGAGTTATGGAAAGAAGTAGAAAACGTGTGCAATACCCGATGTGTGTCTATAGCGTGTATCTATAAATATAAAAGAGGTGCGTTTTTCTTGTCATCTATTTGTGACTGAAGAGATAGATAGATAAATAGACACCCCCATCGTCACTTCATGTGTACAACGTCAAAGACGTTTCCACTTTCAATAGTACATCAAGCTTCTTTCCAATAATCATGAAATTGCTTCAACACGCGCTAATATCTCCTTTCATTATAGCAGCCACGTTTTCATTGAATATCCTACTAACATCAATTGACAATTGGACCTCAAAAGACGTACGGTTTCTCCAATCACATTTACAACAACAGGGCCACAATGTATTATTGATTGCTCCTTTGTATCAGGAAAATTCACACACTTCCCTTGCAACTAAATTCACTATTGGTCTTAAGGATATCAAAGATGGAGGAGAATACGGGCATTTGTTACCGGTACATTACAACTATTATTCAAAAGTGAGCGATCAGAATCAAAAACGAGCCAAACAAGTTGTATTTAAGGAGGAGATTGAGATGAAGTTGTCAGAGGAAGATGGAGACGCAGTTTTACTCAATAACCAGTATGGACAGGATCCTAGTAATCACAATGCGTGGTATGTCAATTGCGATGCCCAGAATGTGTTGAATATTGCCATGAATGTGCTCATTCCCAAATTCTATCCCAATTTTCATCTAGATTTAGTAATGATTGGCCCCAATCAAGGACTAACCCATTCACAACTTGTTACTGACATGATTCAACAAACTAATACCGAAAAAGTTGATGCAATTGCAATCTCAACTCAAGACAATCATCCAATCTATTATCAAGATGAGAAGTACTTTAGAATTGCATTTAATGATGTTGATTTCCAGTTGTCAAAACTGAATGCATTCACCAAAAATATCAAATTGATTGACAGACATGTGATTGCATTGGTGGATAATCTTGTTCAACTAGACAACGAATACGATGGAGCAAAAAGTGGTGGCAGCATTGGATTGCATTTACTGTTTCCCAGTATGAATTTCCGTACTGCACATTGCCAAACTTCTCCATCGACTAAATTGGACTATCAAGTGATGATGACGTCGGATAGGACAGACAAACACAGGGTGATTGCTGATGAAGTAGATGTGTCTGATTTTGAATTGACTTTAAGTGGTCAAATAGTTGAGGTTGAACAAGAAGATGAAGGAAAAGAGGAGGAAAATTCGAAAAATTACGCTAGCTTTAGGATTAAAGAAGAAGCTGCTGATGAGTCTAACCAAGGGGAGCACACCTACAAGAAACGTCGTGATGCCCATGGTGAAAAGGAATCTAATGATGAAAGTATGAAAAGTACTGACTATGTGTTGCTGAATTGCAACATTGCTGTCACTTCGACCAACCCCATCAGTTCGAAAAAGTTGAAGAAACTATTCTATTCAGATTAAAGAACAATTCTTTTAGCGTTATTACTGACTTTTCAATTCTTCTTTTACCCGTGTTCTTTTTTACCTACTTATTATTTATATAATCCATTAAAAAACAAATGATAATGATAAATTTGTATTAAACAATATCCCTTACCAAAATGCTTCTTCTCCTAATGTTGAGGAAATCATGTCAAAAGATTCAAAAGATAGTTTCTTCGCCTTCCTCAAGATGACATCAAAACCAACTTCTTCTTTTTCTTCTTCTTGCTATGCCCAGCTCCACCACTACCGGTACCTTCACTTGCACCGTCATTTTCATTATTTTCTTCTCGTGCTTTCCTTATCAATTCATCAGCATCCCAATCATCCCATTCATCTTCAATGGCAATGGGTGGGATATTATTTACATCCTTGGATTTCTTAATCCTTGTGCCCCAAACAGTAGTGGTGTAACTATCATTATCATTATCGTCATTACCATCGGCATGTTCATTCTCAAGTTCATTATCGTTGGTATTATTTTCATAATCACTTTCAGTGGATAACGGATTATCCGACAACGGGGGCATAGTGCCTCCACCATTGATAGACAAAGATGCAAATTGATTGGCGATTCCAAAATTGGAACTGAATGACCCAGCACCACTTGCCAAATCATCACTCGTCAAGCCATTCTCTTCCATGTAAAACTGCCTCAATCTAAACTCCTCTTCAGATTCAGCCCGTTTCCTATTCCTTTCCTCTCTTAAAAACCTCTTGCTTGAATTCTTGGACCGCTTAATCAAATCATTCTTGAACTGATCCCATACAGGCTGCGACACATATTCATTATGATTCCAGTCACATTCAAGAAACCCAATCTGAGTTCCCACAGGTAAATGACTAAGATATTTGTACTTGGTTATTGACGTCTCTTGTGACAATTCCTCATATCGTATATTCTCAATCTTGGCAACAATACTTGTGGGCAAGTTTTCATAATTTGAGTAGGTTGCTTTCAAAACCTTCATATCCAAAGGAGAGAGCACATATGTACACCCAGCATTGAAACCAGTTTCATAGTAGTAAAACGTTTGGTGCAAGGGAAGTGAAGATGGGCCAACGTCATCGTGGATAACATGTTTATGGTCCTTTTCCAAAGTCGTAGCTAATCTAGATGTCCAATCTGCAACCTCTTGATCTATATGAGACAAGGCTTGTTGTACCAATGCCAGATCATCTCCATACAATTCCTTTTCCTCCTCATAATTGGCAACAATCTGCGCCTTTTCTGTCTCATACATTGATATCATATAATTGTAATCACCTTTGAATACTCTCAGGTATGATGCCAAGTCGGTCTGATTGACATCTGGAAAATCAGTTATGTGATTTGACACAGCAATAGCTTTGGGTAAAGATAATATTTTGTGCAGGTCTCTCATCATCAACGTTAAAACAACATCCTCACGAACTTTAGGAACTTCAAACTGTTCGTCAATGTGTTGAAGAATCGCTGGCTTTAATTGGTGCTTACGTATAATTGAAAAGCACAATGGGCACTCACGATACTTTTCCACAATTGCCGCCGATTCTCGTTTCTTTGCCTTTGGAACCTCATGTTCCAACAACGACAAGACGCATTTCAAACAAATAATATGACCACACGAAACAATCATACGAGGGGCAATTATATCATCGGTTAAACAAATAGGACAACTGGCTTTTGGTGCAATGATTGACATAATGTTGGTAACATCAATTGGCACATTTGGGTCCAACTGTTGTACCTTGTAGTCTAATCTCGAGTCAACTACAAATTTGAAATTTACATTGATGTACTTCATGCCCGATAATTGAACTTTAGCAGGTTGGTTTCTCTTGTGACTGCTGGATCTTCGTCTCGCGCGGTCACGTTGTTGGTTCATAGCATACTCCTCGGTGTCGCGGTATGATTGAAAGTCTAACAAATGGTTGATGGAAATTTGGTTCTTGCGGCTATTTCCATTCACTTTGCGACCTTGCGTCAACTGTGTTTCTAACTGCGTCAATTCGTTATCGTTTCTGTGATCATATTTTCTTGATTTGTTACGGTTGTTATGGGGTCGTTTCCCATTAGGCTTTTTGTTGACACTTTGTTGCTGTTGCTGTTGCTGTTGAAGCAAGGGGGTTTTGGAATTGGATCCATTAAATTTGTTCTTGTTTTCGGTCATTTGATTATCAGAAGGTGGTAAGCTTGTCATTTGCAGACAAACTTATGCATGCTGGGGGTGGGTTAGGTCACAATATACCACCAAGTTTCAAAGGTACTCTTTTTTTTTTTACAAAAAAAGGTCCAAGTAGATGCTTCAGCAGAAAGACCTAAGCACTCTTTTCTATATGCAAAACAGTTGAAATAGCAAACAAATGCGACAACCCTGTTACCTATTATAACAAAGGATAGTTATTTGATAACTGGTGACTGGTATTCAAAAAAGCTGGAAAGAATGCACAAAGGTTCTTTCCTATATGTTTCTCACAATAGGAGTTGTGGGAAAACCAGGAGAAGAATAGTGTCGTTGGTATATGTTTTGATGATGACTTTAAAGGAAGAAAAGAATAAATTTTGTTGTGAGTTTCGTCAAACGACATTTGCACGTGACTCTCGTGTAAACACGTGTAACACAACAATGTCTAACTATTCTTATAAACTATCACACACACAAATGCTGGATTCATTAATTTACTTCTCACTTATGGTAACCTTAAGTAGTTGGTTGTGGTGCATGTGTTGATGAAATAGGTATCTCTCATACAATTGATATTTAACAAATAAACAACAGGCACCACCAACGAGTGAGTGCATGAAGAGAAAAAAAACATTAACTCAAGAAAACCAAACACGTCAAACCAATTCGTTTAGCTTAACAAATCCTTTTCTCCACATTAGTCTACCCTACACACTTGGATTATAAAAATATGGCGCAATTGAAGAAAACTAATCTTAACTCAGTCAAAGACTTACAAAAAACCTCTGACGAACATTTAAATTCAGTATTGCAACAATTGGGGTACGAAGAATCTTATACCATAACCGATTTAAAACTAGGTCTAGGTATAGCAACTGTTGCTATTGCAGCCTTATTGTTCCTTGCTGATAAAAAGTACCAATTTAAACAAATATACTCCATAACGGTTGCTGCCTGTGTCATTTACGGTTTGCTCAATGCCGTTCTATTCTTGATCAATTTGAAATACAAGAATGTAAAATATATTGGATACGATTCCAAGGGCAATAGAATAATAATTGCATCCGATATCAAAAACTATGAACCTGATTATAATGTGACCATTACTGTCAAGGACACAGCTGTGACTGGGTCAATACCGTTTAATAAATTTTTTGATATAGTTGGATACCTCAATAGAGACGAATTCACGAAATTGATTGGTGACGAAATAGCCAAGTCGGAAAAGAAACATGAATAACTTTATCGCCTTAAACTATATAGCTAATAAATGTTCTAAACTAAGAATGCTCCTCCCCCACTCCAAGAAAACAGTCTTTTCTATGTAATAACGTCTCTACCCTTTTGAAAATGTCCCTTAAATAATGTCCTTAACCTTATCGTCAATTTCACTTACCCATCTACAGAAATCCTGGACAAACAACGGCGCTGTTCTTATTCCTGGAAGAAAATTGGCATACATTGGACTTGCCAAACACCCCATGTAACCTCTGTCGACTCTTTTGGTAATTGTTTGTGCTAATTCAACATGATCAACCACTGGAGCAATAAATTGTTTTGTAGGCGTGACATCTTTAAACAATTCCGTATTCATTTGACCCGAAGTTACCAACAACAACCTAATCTTGGGAAATTGCTTCAACTCTTGTTGCAAAGACTCATGCAACATGATTTGTGATGCTTTTGTTGCCGAGTAAATTGATAAATTCTTTGGTGCAAATGTTCCCAATATTGACGATACTGTAACAATCGACAATTTACCATTGCCATTGTATGACAAGTGATTAGCAAGAATCTTTTGTAGAATATAAACCTGCAGAATTGTGTTGATATTAAACATGGCCTTGACCTTTTCAAAACTCAAATTAACCAAGGATCGGTGATCTCTGACTCCAGCATTATTAACAAGAACACTGATATACTGCTTTTTATCATTCAATCCATGAATCAACTTTGTCAATTTATCCTTTAGTTCACATTCGTCGCCTAAATCACAAGCAATATAATGGAGTTTTGACTCCTCGGCTAATTTCAATGGAACGGGATTACGATCAAGCACATACACCGTAACGTCTCTAACCAATAACGATTTAACGATTTCTAGTCCTAGTCCACTCGATCCCCCAGTGACCAAGGCAATATCAGAGCGACCCAAGCCTTTCCATTGGTTTTTTGATGGATAGTTGTAACCCTCAACGAAAAGTAAAATAAAACTAACAATCACCAAAATTATGAAAATGGCCAAAAGAATATAAGGTAACGGGGTCCACCACAAGGAAAAGAACCTATCCATAGTTAGTACATGAATTTAGTTAGTTGTTGTGTATAGTGTGTTTGTTGCTTGTGTTGCTGTTGTTGCCGTTATATAAAACATACGATATCAAGAATAGAATGAATGTGAAAACTTCAATAATGAGAAGAATGATTTCCGCCCAATTTCGTGCTTGATTTGGCTGCTGGTTGAAAAATTTAACACACATGATAAATAAATTACTTTTGGGGAGGTTCAAAGCAAGTAGTAATAATATAGCAAGGTAATGTGGTTTAGCGATAGAAGCTATAGCAAAGCAAACAGACTAGAGTACTGTGAAGTAGAAAAGTAAAGAAAACAATATATATAAATCAGCATTTTTTTGCAATCAATTATTACAGCATACAAAAAAGACATACCAAAATCTATAGAACTTTGCATTTAGACAATCAGATTCACTCATTAATCCTTCATTTGGTCCGTTGCTCTTGTTTATCAAAATCATACCCCCGTGCTATACCCAATCTTCCTTCAACAGCTAAGGTACCTTGCTCATCGCCTAAGTCGTCGTCATCATCATCATCAGAACCATTATTGTTTGCATAATCACTGCCCAAACCAGTCCATTGTCTATTTTGCAAATGCATTGCTGATGTGCTCACAGTATTACGAATGGCAACACTATTAGAAAACTTCTCCACTAATCTCTTTTCATCAGTACTTGATCCATTCTCACTCTCATTCTTAATCGTCAAATGATTAATTTGTCGAAGAGGTCGAGACATACTCACATACCTACCACTTACAGGATCAAACTCGGGTTCTTCATCAGAACTGGCTTCAGCTTCGTCTTCTTGCAATTTCGAAGTTGCTTCTTCCATTTTGTAATCCTCAATGACAGTCTTATAATCGGTAATCCATCTCCCAGTCCATGCCAACTCATCACTCAACCCGAGCAATAACTCATATGGAGTAACTATAGGTTTGAAAAATTCATTCACTTGATCAATTATGATTCCTTGATGATCGCAACCCAATACACACCAGACATCAACACTTTCAAAATTTGCCAATTTGGCCACATTCGGTTTGCCCACTACAAAAATATAATGCTTTTTACCGGCTTTTTTAATCTTTTCCTTTATCGTGTTTATCAACTGCTTTGTGTTCGATAACGACAACGTATTGACTAGGATACCAACCGTTCCTGCACTTCGGGCAACATGAACAAATTTATATCGCCTCATCAAGTTAGGATAGGGACCTTGTGAGATGCTATTTGTACCAGTATCATAAGTCGTGACGGATACAAAGTTGGTGGTTAGTTGTAAAAGCCTAGGCGCTTCAGGTACAGTGACATGAAACAATTCGTATTCAGATATATTCTCCACGGGAAATGTCCGATTGAATTTTTTGAGTCCATTTTCCTTTATTGGCAGGTATCCAATTATTTCCGACTTTGAACTTGGGACAATCAAATCAGCAATGATGACATGGTTGTATTGTTCTAACTTTTCCTTTAGCTGATGTAGGATATAAGTGTATGGTGCATTGGCCATCAATACTACTTTATCATCCTGATTATACCTATCCTGAAACTGTTTTACCATTGCATCCACATCCACTTCGGGCCTTCCCAATACATATTTGGAGTTTATTTTAGCCACTTCATTCAAACACGCATCACCGAAATGAACTACCAAGTCACTTTGAACATGCTCAGCAGCTATTTCATCAACACAACATGCCGAATAGGACGTATCAGCTAGAATCCAAATTTTCTGCTTCTGGTCCAGAGTGTTTATGCCAAGCTCCTGTTGTAAAATATGGACAATGGTGACAGAATCACATATTAGCTCATCGGGGAACTGTAATGTTATACGTTTGAACTTTGGTTCATCTCCATTCTTTTCTGATAACTTCTCGATTAATTGTGGTAGTGAGTAATATTCTCGTATTTTGCAAACTACCTCTTGATGATCATCGGGGTTTTTCAAATGGAGATGACTTCGCTCCTTTTTCGTTGATTCGATTTTGTCGTATGTGAATGCCGAGTCATCTTGGTATGTTGATAGGGCAGGCGCCACCGCCTCTTCTGAATTCATATGGTGGGTGAGAGAGTCGAAATGTAGACTGTTGATATGGGATCTCCTGATCAAAAATGGATTTGAGATGATTACAGACGAAATCAAAACCGAAAAAGAAAAAAAGAATAGAAATAAAAATGAAGGAGGAACTTTTGCATCCAAAAACAAACCAATCTGTAACTAATTCTATCTACTTTTCACCCTCTACAGTTATAAAGTGCCGGCCCATTCAGCTGGCATGGGTCTATATACATAGACTTCGCCCGCAGTCAAGTTCTTCAAAATATATTCTCCATCCACAACCCTCCTCACACCATTAACATTCTGTTCAACAACTTGCAACTTGACACCATCATTGACAACAACAACACTCGTATGATCAGGAGCACCCACTGTTTGAGTTGTACCTGTAGCTGTATTGAAGAATGTGCAAGATTTAAACTGTAAAATATCACCACGTCTAATCTCATCCAATTGTTGGGTACTGTTGACAAACTCAACACCTGAGCCTGTATTTTTAATTTGCAAAATAGGATAACCATGAGTATAGTACTGAGACACAAATGCGTGCTTGCCACATCCCTTCTCAAGGGCAAATTTCGCCAAATCCCAGCACTCTCCACTACCAACTTGTTGTCCTTTATGATGCTCACTCCAGGATGCTACGTACTCTCCAAATCGCTCGTAATTGGCGACAAGCTCTTGTTTCGAAGGGATAGTACAAATTGGCGATGGAACAAACCGATCAACACTCACCGCCACCGCTACGACATCATTTGCATTCCAAACAAGTTTGTAGGAGACTATAGATAAATCTTTCAATCGCACTGTTACAATTCTATTCCATGTTTGCGATCCTCCAGAGGAAGTGTACAGACAACTAGTTTGATAATTTAGACCCTGTAATGATTTAGGAAGAACAAGTCCATTTGTATTTGCAAACCATTGACTGCCCAATTCCAAGTCCAAGTTAGGAGGACCTTGTTTATCTGGCACAGGAGGAGGAGCTGCTGCTCGTTTGTAGTTTCTAGGTTTGGGAGTGGGAGGGGGTGTTGGTGATCTAACACGGCCCGCAGAAGCAATGAATGAAGAGCTTGCCCTGTCTACATGAGACGTGGAAGGCAGGTCGCCACGAGAATTGGATGTTGGTGTCGTAATTGTTGCTGCTGTTGCTGCTGTTGCTGCTGGCTTGGATTTTAGCTCTGGTTTCGGTTTTACTGCAGGTTTGGGTTTCAATTGTGGGGCTGCAGGTTTTGCTGGCTTAGGGGTGATAGCCACGGGCTCCCTCTTTTCTCCATCCAATTCCGATTTCGACTTATTAACATTCATTTTCTTAAACACACTTTCTAATTCGCTTTGCATTCCCAGATGATTAGTCTCCGAAGCATTGGAAGTTTGATGCTCGCTTGACAAATTTTTTGGTTTCTTGACTGGTTTTGGCGGTGGCTTCTTCTTTTGTACAGCTTCTGTGATGTCATTACTTGAGTTTGTAATTGAAGATGCCGAGCTTGTACTTTGAAGTGGTCTTCTGGGCATTGGTGGAGCTTCTCCTATAGAAATTGGTATTGAAGCTGTTGAGCCTGCATTTTGAACAGGTCTAAGCGGCATTGGTGGGGCTATATCCTCCTCTATACCCTCCTCATTTGTCTTTTCCACTCTTGGGCGGTGAACTTGTGGAGGTGGTGGAAACGCATTCGAATCGAGAGGTCTATTAGCAGAAGTATGACTGGAGACACTGCCTACGCTACTTCTACTAGGCAATGGTGGTGGTTGTAAGCTATGATCTTCTGTGTGGTTAGGTTGTGGACCCGGAGTTGTTGCCACAGAGTCACCTGCAATAGCACTCGAGTTGCTATGCTGTAATTCACCATGCTTCTGTGATGCTTTTGAGTGTGCACTACTCTTACGCGAAGACCCTGTAGCATCTGGCGATTGTACTTTTCTTGTTGGAGGGGCTGGAAATGAGTTTGGATCGGGCAATGGTCTCTTGGGTTTCTCTGTTTGTGTCAAGTTGGTATCTTGTTGACCAATTTGTGGCAATTCACCAGCATTTACGGGTTGCTGAACTAGTGGGTAGTTTGCTGCCACTGGTTGTAATGGAGCGGCTACAGTAGGTCCTCTACTAGGCAAGCTTGGTGGTATCTGGCCCTGCCCAGGTACAATTGGGGGCACTGGGGTTTGTCCTTGCACAGGTTGAGATACAGGAGGCTGTCCGTATTGCATTACTTCATCGTGTTGAGCGTAAGCTGGTGGTGGTGCCTCCACTTGCAATTGTGACTGCACTTGCTGATATTGTGGTTGGATTTCTTGAGTATGTGGATGGTATGGCTGAGCGGGGTGAGCATGCTGAGATGGTTGAGCATATGTCTGTTCAGTTTGCTGTGGATTTAAGACGTTCTGTTCATGAGCTTGTACAAATGGAGTGGGCTGAGCTTGCCGAGGTGGTGGGGCTGGCTTGTTCGTTTGTTGTACAGAAACGTCTGTAGTCTGTTGCAATAGCTGAGGCGGCTGTGTGTATTGCGGAGAGCCTGGTTGCGTGGTCTGCTGTATGGGCTGTTGATACTGTTGCGATTGTTGATATTGTTGCGGTTGTTGATATTGTTGCGGTTGTTGATATTGTTGCGGTTGTTGCGGTTGTTGAGGTTGTTGATATTGCTGCGGTTGCTGGTATTGCTGCGGTTGCTGGTATTGCTGCGGTTGCTGGTATTGCTGCGGTTGCTGGTATTGCTGCGGTTGTTGATATTGCAGATTTACTTGAGGCTGTTGCGGTTGCTGATATTGTTGTGTCGTACTTTGTGGTGTTGGATATTTACCTTCTGATGGCTTATAAGCGCCCACGTTTCTTCTCGGAGGAGGCTGATATGATTGGAGTGTTTCTTTGCTTGGCAATGGACGAGCAACGTATGGTACACTCTCCGACGTTTCATTGGCCTCTGATTTACCACTCTTGTCACTTGCTGGCTCGACATACTCTGTACCCTTTCTTTTTGCCTCGTTCTTCTTGTAGGTCCTATATCCCGCTTTTCCCAAGGCTTTGGAGCCTCGGCCAATCCCCTTAGCGGTTGCAATCCCGACTGCCTTGAACTGATCACTCGACATGGTTAAAGACTTCGATGGTGGTAAAGAAAAGTTAGAATTCGTCTGTTATATATATTTTCGTTCTTACGTAATTACATTTTGATCCAACTCAGCCCACCATTAACACAATCAAATAGCTAAAAACGCTACCAACAGCTAACCCAACACTTAAGAACACAGTGGTGAATCCACCAGCTGCCTCTTTCTCGTCATCTGAATCGCATAGTTTACCAACAACCATAAAAGCAGAAGTACATAACTGTCCATTTGAAATTCCGAACAAGGTCTGTAATAAAATGTACCAAAAATCAGATTGAATCAAAGGTTGAGAACCACCAGGATGTATGTTACAAGTCATGAACAAAGGAATAAATGCTAATCTAGCTAGCGAGTATGTAAACATTGTTTTTGGACTGGTTATTAGCATGCGCAATTTGGGATACCCGCACATTAATCTCCCCATCAAATCACCCAAGTTCCACATCAAGTAAACAAAGGGAATATAAATCTGTTTGTTAAAGAACCTGGACTCCAGCTTATTATTTGTTGATTCGACAACAGATGCAAATACAGGAAATACCAATGTGATGCCAAATGTGAAGAAGATGGTCATCACCACTAACTTCAATTTACTCCACAATTGAGCAAACGGAATAAACTGCTTTTGAGTAGGAACATCTTCAATGTCATCAGAATCGTCTAGCTGCAATGAAGTTTCTTCTCCCATCTCCATCGAGCGGTTCACCTTCTGATATGCCGCGTTTGGTTTATGACGTTCAACCCAGTATAGTAATGCGATAGATAATATACAAACCAAACTTGCAGTGATGTAGTAAACAAATACGCCATAATCCTTTTCGATTTTTTCTTGCTTCGATGGCTTGTCCCCTACTAACAAAATCGATATAATTAATGCACAAGACGGCAAAACACCTGCAACAGCTTGACCCACCATGACGGCATTGGCATATATCTCTCCCATGACATTTACTATAGCCATAGTACCATTTTGAGCCAAACAGGTCGCAGCAGCTGATGTCAACACCATAAGCATTAGCAAGAGAAAGAATACAGTATCGTTCATATCGAGAAACAACTGCACAATACATGTTATAGCCATAAAGGCAAAAATAACTATGGTCATGTTAAACCCCACATGCACTCTTTTCTTGTAATCAGCACCCGATTGTTTTTGAGAAAGGTAGTAGTTGTACAATGTTGATGTGATGGTGGAAACTGACATCATGGTTGAACTATACACTTTTGACAAGGAAGGCGAGCCGACGAATCTAAGTCCATAATAGGCCGAGGCCGAAAGGAAACAGTTCCACGGCCATAGGATTGCAATACCTATAATGACAAATGTAAAGTATTTTAGCTGGGACAATGTCAATGTGAAAAACCCTTGAAGCTTTAAAACCACGGGCTCATGGTGTTCTGTTTGTTCTATGGGATCAGGAATATCATCACCACTGTCTGTTCGCCTATGGTTCATCTTTTGGTTGGAGTTTGAAAGGAAAATAAAACTAGTTGTTCTTGGTTTAGCGCATGTGCTAGTGTGATGACAGATAAGAGACCTGTTATCATTCGAGTTCAACAACGCGCTCAAAAGAAAATTTTCTTTTGATAACAAAGCCCTATTTGCACCACAAAAGCAGAAGCGAAGAAACACGCTAACCGCCTAGACCAACCCTACACAGAGAACAAGAACACAAGATCTTCTACATTAAGTAAGCATCATTCAGAGAATAGCTTTATTTTTATAGATCTACAGAAAACAATCACCCGGTGAATAATTATACATTACTCCTCAAATTGCACTTTCCTCTCGGATACAGCAGGCGGTTCAGTCTCCCCTTCGTGACTATTCATTAGTTTCAAATCATCAATTTCTTCATCAATTAATTGAGCAACAGTTTCTTCTATTTTGTTGTATACTTTCAACACCATGTAATTAGGTTCCCTCAATGGAAGTCGTAGTGGACTATAGTCACCCAACCAAAAACCGTCATACTTTTTCTCCTCTATGATATCCTCAGGTGACTCTTCAAGCTCGAGAATTTCGAAAAAGGCGTGCCATTGCTTAAGAGTATATTTTTTCTCGGGGTTGGTAACACAATCGGAGATCAATGGCTTTAGTTGTTTCAAATACTTCAACACCTCTAAATGCCTTCGTGCCCTATCCGATATCTTCTTTTGCACTTTGCGTAGCTTGAGAGATTCTGAAGACTTTATACTTGTTGCCAGACCACTAGCTGCACCGGTTGACAGCTCACTTCCTTCCAACTGCAGGATTTCACGTTCAAGGTGTTCCTCCTCCTTCCAACTAGTCCCAGCATCATCTTCCCCACATTCATGCAACGATAAATCTATGTCATCCCTTAGCTCCTGGGCCAAGATACTCGAGTTGATGGTGACCTCATCACTACGCTCCTCTTTGATTTCTTTCTTGATCGCCTTCTTCTCCTCATATGCATTATCAGGTTGAAACAACCACTTACTGAACCACTCACTTATTCTATTTGAAGTGTCATATAGCTCATCACCCACGTTTGAAACCAAGATGGTCATCAAAGGCACAGCCGCAATTGCCCATGAAATAAAGAAAACGCGTCCAAGACTAGTTGTGGGTGCATAGTCACCGTACCCAATCGTCAATAAACAAAGGAAGCAAAAATAAATGGAGTGGAAATAAGTCCATCCTTCAATAAAATGAAAAATCATTCCACCTACTAGCCAGAATGCAAGAAATATCAAGACAGTCATCAACAACCCGATATTTGTCCGGATCGTCTTTACTTGGTTACGAATCTGTCTTATTTTATGAAATGCTTGTTCAGGAGTAATTTCTTTATTCATTTGTATCAGCTTGGCAATATACTTCCTTCGTTTTATTTCAGTGTCGTTCCAAAATACCGCAGGAGCTGCCGAGGATAATATCACTGATCGCAAAGTAGCAACGATTAAACCCATGATAAGAACTCCAACTAAGGAAAATATTAACACGACAACTTTTGCTCCCGATGATTTGGGCGTTATATCGCCCAATCCAATAGTGAGAATCGATACAATGCAGTAATACAAGGCCGATCCATACGAAATACCCTTGATCAAATGTGCCAATGCCACCGCACCAGCAATACTCCAAGTACTAAACATGATGGTGTAAACCATTAATGTCCGTTGCTTCTGATCCAAGTTGAATGTGGGTGGGTATTTGTTTAACCTATATCCAGCAAAGTTGATCAATAATATCAGCATGCATAGGAAATAGTAAGCCGCTGTGAAACACGCAAAGTAAAAACCCTCAGAACGCTGAGTGTTGGAAAATTCGTCCAAGGCCTCATAGTTGGTAATCAAAATCCCGGCAACAAGGAGCATGCATGCACAAAACCATGAGAATATCGATATACACTGAGTGATCAAGTACTTGACAGACCGCGAGAAGTTCATCAACAAAGATATGTTCCCTATAAGTCCCAAAGCCAATGACAATGCGTTTAGTATAACTACTTTTTTCGGATCTGGGTGGTAGTACCCTGTTACTGTATCAACTCTCCAGTGTTCAATTAAAGCAATGATCGAAATCATATTCGATAATGGGCCAAGACAAGCAGCCGACAAAGGGAAATACGAAGATATTAGGAACCACATTACAAAATGGGGCTCCCCAGGTCGTACGTATAAATTGAGTATCGATTCCAAAGGTATATCCAACGCATGCTTGATAGCAATTGGAGCAACTATTTTGCTTGCTTCTCCCACTTGCTTGTGTTTCAGTTGGGAGCCTTGATAAGTGTCAATCAATATAGGTGTAAGGATATCTTGGTAATGCTGTATACTTTCAATCGCTCGTTTATCATTCAAAGGCTCAGGTCGCAATGATGTGGAGGCTCGTTTGAAAGCATCTTTAAAGCTCGAGGTGCTACTTGACTTTGATCGATCAAACATGGCTAAAAAAAGATAGAGCGTTGTGTTATATCCGAGTCGTGGTATTCAATAGGGTCATATTCTAAAATTGTGTCTTTGGTCCCTTGGGGAGATGCTGTTGTTCCTTTGAGTTATTTATATTTATAGGCTGTGAATGTTGCGAATGTTGCGAATGTTTCTTTGTGTGAAGTAGCGTTTTAAAGTNGGGAGGGGTAGGGTTTATCTAATAGGTGGATAAAAAGTGTCTGGAAACGTGCAAAGAAGATGCCTCTGGTATTAATGTTTTCTTTTTTTCTTTGTACAATTTCGGATATACGATGATGCGATCAATAACTCCGGCGCTGCTTTAATACCAGGACAGAAATTTGACAAGACTAGTAAACCCACAATTTAGAACTGAATCATCGAACCAAGTAGTTCGGCCCCATAATTATCACCCATATTTACATAAAAAGTCGAACAATACGCTACGAAACTCGATCAAATTCCATCGTCCATTTAAAACTATGTACAAGTAAGTTATATCGCAAATGGCAATTCGTTCTTTTCATTTATGAAATACTTTCTCAAAACATTCTTCTGAACGCTCTTTTGTATTTCATCAATGGGTCTATTCTTGAATTTATCATTCAATATTTTCAACTTCAATTCCGTATATTTCGAATCATTCATGACCGTGTCTAAAATGTCATTGATATGATACACCCTCTTTTCGGTCTCTGACGAATACGCAGGGGTATTCAACTCTAGGTCTATTATTGGTTCTGTTGACGGCCACGATTTGATGTTGTATTTGGCCTTGATTGAGTTCACTTCATTGATTAAATTTTGATGGTTGGATTCACTTGCTTCTTCTTCACTGGTGATTTGGTGGCTTAGTTGATCTAATTTCCTTAAATCTTCAAGCTGAGTGATTATGTTCTTGAATTGTTTCTTATTTGCAACAAACTTTTGTGCTTCCAATTCATCTTCTTGCTTGATTCTTTGTTTGGCCAAGTCTTCATACTGAGCAAACTGTTGACCCTTGTTGACTTTGATTTCAGCTATGGCAAATGCTTTTCGCTTGGACATTTTAGGGATGGCTTCAATTCGAACGATGTCACCTTCTTTGCTAATGTTTCCTTCATCATGAACCAAGAAATCTTTTCTTCGAATAACTTCCTTGTCTATTCTCCTATCGTACACTTTGCCTTGAACTCTGACTTTTACGGTCTTGTTCATTCGACCTTGGGATACAACTAATCCCACAAAATTCTGTCTAGCCATGAGAGTAAGGTATTGTAGTCTAGGTTATAAAAGGGTATATGATCAAGTAAACTTGAAAGGAATAAATTTTTCACTTTTTGTAAATTTTTTTTTTCTTTTGGTTCACACGACTGTATACAACAAACACAACAATCACCAATAGATATAATCTATTCCCTTTTGCAATAAAAGTAATCCAAAGATGACAAACTTCATTCACATTTATAAACTATCTATTTTCTATTAAGCATTTATTTCATTCAATACTTTTTCAAATTTCAAAAGTAATTCCTTGTTTTCCTCTTCTGTTCCAATTGAAATTCTAAGGGCACCAGTACAGTTCAACTCTTTACCACGGAACCTCACTACTACGGCATTATCAACAGCCAAGGTATTGTACAACATCAAAGCTACTTCATTTGAAGGTTTGCCGCTTTTGTTCAAGATTTCCACCAAAATAAAGTTGGCATTAAGACCACCAATATTTCTACCCACGTATTTCAAATCAAGAATGCTCTTCAATAATGTTTCTCTTTGTTGGAGAATGCTCTTGACGTACTTGTGCATGACCGCTAGCCCTGAAGGCGACGTGGCTTTTAATGCGATATCCGACGTAAGTGATGATATATTGTAAGGGTATTTCATGGAGTTTAAAATCCTTGACAAATCAATATTACAATAGGTTATACCCAATCTAATTCCTGCCAACCCAAAAGATTTGCTCAATGTTTGTAACACCACCAAATTGGGATACTCATTAACCAAGGTAGATACAGACTCGCTGTATTCACCGTTGGAAGCAGTAAAATCAATGTATGCTTCATCAACAACAACTAACCCATTCCAAGTGTCAATGGTTTTCTTCAATAATGCAACTACTTGGTCAACATTGATTAATTTACCCGTTGGATTACCCGGGGAAGTTAAATAAATAAGCTTGATACCTGGATCTGATTCCAATTTTGCTAGAATGCCCTCAACATCAATCTGAAAATCTGGAATAGTCAACGGCACTTTCACAGTCTCTACATCATTGACAGTGGCACATATAGAGTACATACCATAAGTGGGAGGACAAGTTAGCAACTTTTCTTTGCCTGGCGTACAACAGCATCTCAACAACAAGTCGATGCTCTCATCGGATCCAACACCAAGACAAAGATTCTCTGGTTTCAACAACGACGTACTGTACTTGTTTGGCGATTGATTTCGGAAACTGACTATTTGCTCTTTCAATTCCAACTGATGAGGGTCGGGATACCTATTAAGCTCTAATAATTCCTCATATGTGGTAATGTCGGAAAGTGCAGGCCCATGTGTGTTTTCATTTGCATCCAACAAGATTCCTGTTTTAAAATCATCTCTGGCACAACGGTATGGCTCTAAGGTTAGGATATTGGGACGAACCACATTTTTTAATTCAAACATTGGAGAAGGAAGGGTTGGTATTTAGTTGACAGGTAAAACTAATTGGGCTACTTGTTCAAGAATGAAGAAAAGAAGGGAATCAAAAAGAAGCGGCTATTTTGAATGAGTCAAAAAATTTCTTCCTCTCTGTTGAGGAAAATTTACGGGGGCAGTTGGTAGCTCTTATCTGCTTTTACTCATTTACAAATGGTTTGATACTTCTTAAATATTATATTTGTACTACGATAGTTTCATCAGTTATTTGAGAGTTATCATAAGATATTGGCTTCCTGACAGCAGTGCTGAAGAAGCTATTGTTGTAAAAGGAGCTAAGACTTAACAGTTTGGTGCGAGGTCTTGTTATACTTTCATTCAATTCAATCACTTTGTTTGAATACTCAAGTGATTCAATAGTCTTCATGGGCTCTTTGACAGGGGGTGAGAATATAGCATCCAAAATGGGCTTCATGTTGGTTTCAGGAAACAGATCTGAAGGAAGCAGTTTCTCCCCAGCAGCTAGATTAAACATGGTAGTGTGGTGTCTCGAAAAGCGTCTTCTCCAAGGTACTGAATGTTCATTAGTTGGTGCAATATTGACTCCAGTGACTGTGTTGTACTTTTTGGCGACTCCTGTGCTTTTAGATGGTTTGTGTTTGAACCTGTTTAGAAACTTTGAAAACTTTGATATTTTTGATGGGAGAGTTTTATTTTCTGGTTTCACATCCGCTTCTTGTAAAGGGTAGAAAGAAGATGGCTTCGTACTAATTTGTTGTTGCAACTGATCTTTGTCCTGAGGCAAACTATTATCCATACATTCGTCTTGCTTTATATTTTCAGCATATCTATGAAAGCTTCCCAGTGAATCAGCTGCAAACTTGTTCTCACTGACGTCTGTTATGTTTGTATAGTTTGGATATGAGTAAAACCTATTATTGTCTCTTTTAGCACCTAGAGACTGAGATGAGTGCATTCCCTAGTAATCTATAATAACAAAATAAAAAGGGAGGGAGGGGGAATAAGAAAAGTGACTGTGTAAATGAATTCTAATTTTATTGATTGCAAAATACTTTCCTCAAAGAGTTACTCAAAGAGTTTAACACAAAATGTCAAACAAAAATTAAATTTTCAACAAAACAAAAAAATGCCAACTAGAAATTGAACAAGGTGTTTAACTTACTACGCCAATACAGCAGCAACAGCAACAACTACTACTACTACATTCATCAAATATGGAAGGTGTATCATACGAAGCCAAGACCAAAAAGTTGATACTAGACCCAGAAATTGTTTCAACATCACCTGCATTGAAGTTGGAAACAGATCAGCTTAATGTTATCATTCAAGAACTAATAAATCAGGGTAGTGATGTTCCTCCTGTGCCTACTCCAGAAAACTTCAACAAAGACCTTTCCAAAATGATTAAAAAGTTGTATGATGGTGGTGTTCAATCATTCAAAATGGGTAAATTTGACGATAGTGCTCGACAATTTTCTGTTGGTATTGAAATGATTTGCAGAAGACCCAAACTTGAAAGCTTTGCTGGAACTATACAAGAGCTTTCCAAGTTTTTAATGAGCAGATGCGATGCATACTTGAAAACAAAGCAATATTTGCAGGCCTACAATGATGTTGATATTCTTTTAAATATGCAAATGAATGCTCCTGATAATTTTTTGAGGAGAGGTGTTGCCAATTACTTTTTGGGTAATTATGAACTTGCGAGAGCTGATTATCAAAGAGGTTTGGCTTTTGATGAAAGCAATCAAAGGTTGCAACATGAATTGAATATTTGCTTGGATAAGATTTTGGAAGAAAATGGAGATTATTTGTAGATAAAGGGTATATAAGATATAGCTAAAGAGGTGGTCATTGTATGAATTAATCACTCAATACTCAATATTTGGGGTAGCCTTTGACAAACTCTACGTTTTGATGATTATTTTGTATCTAACCTTATCTATTACTTACATATGTGTGCTTCTTTGGGTCAGAACAAAAACAAAAAGAAAAAGAAAAGGAAAGGAAACAAACTCGTCTAACAACGATCTTCATCATTGTGATATTGTTACATTTGACATATTATCATTCACTATTGAGAGCTCATTCGCATCTTAATTACAACTGGTTTAGTTATTAGCTCCTTTTTGAAAGAGGCAGTCTTTTCTGTGTATTGTTTGAGAGATCACATCATTATTTAATATGACAACAGAAATGGACTACAGCTCAACTAATCCGGTAAAAAGACAAAGGCTTGAGCCACTCAACGCGGATGCTAGTTGGCGTGTTAAATTGAAGGCTATAGAAACAGCTGATAGAGCTAAAAAAGCCGAAGGAGCTAAAGCGAGTCAGCTGTTTCAAAACGGCAATACTAGTGGCACAAACAACAGCGTTCGGGAATACGAAGTGATAGATTTAACTTCAGATGATGATGAGGTTGGTTCACCTGCAGTTTCCGAAACTAAAAACGTTTATCCTATAAAGATAGATCAAGCAGTCAAAAACGAAAAGAGCATATATCTCGATAGTGACAATAGTGACGATGAAATTATTATCCTAGGCGAAAAGAAAGTGACAAACAATGTGCTTAAGCCAGAACCCCTAAATGGTGCAACTGTCCCTAGCATGCAATTCAACGGCTCAAATTCATCTCCCCAAAATGGCCTACAGAGTATACAAGGCAGCGACAACATTGTCCGCCCCCTTGCCCCAAACCAACCGATAATGCCAGGCTCGTTCAATACACCGGCACCTGTACCGCATGTGGGAGACAACTTTGCCCAAATCACTCGTGAAGAGTTGAAACAAAGGGAAACAGAAAAATTAACTGAGTTTGGTAAATTAGAGCAAATAAAAAGAACACTAACAGCTCAAATTCAACGTCATCAACAAGAATTCGAGGTTGAAAATCAGCGAATTACGATTGCACGATCACAACTAAGTCAAGCCAATAGGTTAGGGAATCATGCGTTAGTTGAGCGATTAAGAGTGGGTATCACGAAAATTAAACGAGTAATGGACACTGTGCGCAATAACATAAATGCATACCAACGTTCGCTCGAGCCTGTTGAGGCGAGTATACTCACTGTGAGAGGGAGTTTGTCAGGTATTGCGAACAGATTGCGTACAGCTAACCACCAAGCAAATGCGTCGTTTAATCCTTACGAGGCACAAATATATCGAGATGCGCAAACACATGGAAGCTCTTCAAGAGAACCCGATGTTGATGTTTCACATCTATTGGATAACATAGTGCCTGATGAACAATTGCAAGAAGGTTTGGCACCAACGCCACCCGAAATGGCAATCAAGTTGTTGAAGCACCAAAGCATAGGACTAGCTTGGTTAAAGCGTATGGAAGAGTCTAGGACTAAAGGAGGCATTTTGGCCGATGATATGGGGTTGGGAAAAACTGTGCAAGCATTGGCTTTGATTATTGCAAACAAGTCGAAGGATTTTGAGAGAAAGACTACATTGATTGTGGCTCCTGTTTCTTTACTACGACAGTGGGCGGCAGAAGTGGAGTCCAAATTGCACCCATTGTGTAGCTTGCGAGTAGGTATTTACCATGGGGAAAATAGAAAGGTAATGTCTACTTTCCTGGCCTTGAAGAAATATGACATTGTGTTGGTATCATATGGAACCATTGCTTCTGAATGGAAGAGACATTATGCCAAGGAACTAGATGAAAACAGGCTTGAAGGAAGAGGGTTCCTACCAAAGAATGGTACTGGAGGTACCGAATACGACTCTCCATTATTTGCCTCAAATTCTTTATTTTATCGAGTCATATTAGACGAAGCTCAAAATATAAAAAACAAATTGGCAATTTCGTCAAAGGCCGTTTTGTATTTGAAAGCTGAATATAGGCTATGTTTGACAGGAACGCCCATGCAAAACAAGATCGAAGAGTTGTATCCCATTGTTCGTTTTTTGAAACTTAGGCCATATTACATTGAAGACAAGTTCAGGGCCCTTGTCTTACCGTTGAAATCAAAGTCAGATGAATACGATGATGTTGACCGGGCTCAGTCTATGAGGAAATTACAAGCCATGTTGCGTTCAGTGATGTTGAGGCGAACCAAATCGTCTAAAATTGATGGACAGCCTATTTTAAACTTGCCCGAGAAACATATAGTTTCCGATTATGTGGAGTTGGAAGAAGTTGAAATGTCATATTATAGAGATATTGAGTTGGGAGTTCAACGACAAGCAGAGAAGATGATGAGTTCAAATGATAATAGTTGTATGTTTACACTCTTGCTAAGATTGAGACAGGCATGTTGTCACCAGTATCTTGTTGAAATTGGAAACATAAAGACTGACCAACGGCATCAAGCTGCAGAGACTACTTTGAAACTCGACTGGAGAAGGCAGTTACGAAATGTAACGGAATTGACTCCAGGTCAGGCTGCTAAAATAAAAGAAACTGTTGCGTCTTCGGCTAGTAGTGAACTCACTTGTTCTTTTTGCTATGACGTTGAAGAATTAAACAACTTTGCTGTATTGGGAGATTGCGGTCATTTAGTTTGTCTATCCTGCATTGATACATTTTTTGACGAGCACGCAATTGATGGCACTGATTCTAGGGATCAGGTTGCCACATGCATTGATTGCAAATCTGCAGTGAAATATTCAAATACTTTTGAATACACCATGTTTGAGAAATTTTCCATCAGAAACGAAAGTGCATCAGATGTCGAGGAGTTTTATAAAGAGCGCCAACGGAGTAATAATTTGTCAAACATGTCCATAATTCGCGATTTAACTGCAAGGGATCAAGGGTTTGAACCTTCAGCTAAAATTGAGAAATCAATTGAGCTAATTAGACAAATTCAAGAATCTAACCCTGGGCAAAAGATTATTATTTTTTCTCAATTTGTTACCTTGTTTGATTTAATGAAGTTGGTTTTGGATTATCAAAAGATCCCATTTTTGCGATACGATGGTTCGATGTCGATGGAGAATAAAAACACCGTTATTAAGCAATTTTATCAAAATGATGCTGATGTTTTATTACTTTCTTTACGTGCTGGTAACGTGGGGTTAACATTGACATGTGCCAATCATGTGATTATAATGGATCCATTTTGGAATCCGTTTGTGGAAGAGCAAGCTATGGATAGGGCTCATCGTATTGGACAAGAACGAGAAGTTCATGTTCATCGCATACTAGTCTCAAACACGGTTGAGAGTCGTATTATGGAACTTCAAGACAATAAAAAGCGATTAATTGGAGATGCTCTCGATGAGAATGAGATGAAGTCGATATCGCGTTTGGGAAGGAGGGAGCTTGGTTTCTTGTTTGGTTTGAATGGATTGACCGAGAGAACGACATAATAACGACATTTAGTTCAAATTTTGATTCTGTTTATGTATTGTATAGATCTATATCAGTTTATTTCATTTGTGCTTTTTAATCTTGCTCATGTTTCGAGTCCAGTCTTTCTCGAGAATCAATTCATGTTTATAGCATAATTCAGCCAAGAGTATCGGTTCAAATTCAAACTGATAAGCGGATAACGATTTGCATAAATAAATCAATTGTAAGATTAATCCATCAATCGAGTTTTTCAACTCCAATTCTGATTCAATTGAATTTGCCGATGCTGGAACAACGATATGAGGCATGCATGTAGTAAATTCACGACACAAGTTCATGGCCAAGGTGGTGATGAATTGATTTAGCAACAATTTGTTGGTTTCATTTTGGAAAATTGTGTAATATACATGGATTGATGAATAAATGTGTTCACGATAAACTTCAACAAATCTTTTCAAGTATGTGAGTTTATTAAATTTGAGAATGGGTTGTAGACTGGATAATTCATTAATGATAAACTTGAATCTCGAGTTCAAGTAGATGACATGCAAGGATTTGTCATTAACAGTTTCCAATTTACTCAAGATTTGGAATATTTTAAGTATATGATTTTGTTTTAAATTGGTATTAAGTAACTTGAGTAACCCTTTTAGCATGACTTGCAATTCGATTTCAACTTGATCGGAAATAGTTCTAAACAATTGTAATTTGGGGAACCTGATAATTAACGATTTTATGAATATCGAAATCTCCAAGCTCTCTTGATAATTACCTTGCAAGATACAAAGCCGGCATAGGGTTGGAAGTTCCAAGATATCCAATACAGTGTCAATATTCGACAAAATCGAGTTTTGCAGCGACTTGTTGTATTCACTCGGGTGAAATTTGGAATCCATATGGATGCTTTTCTTCAATGAATCAACTGTTTTGGGATAATCATTAATCAAGGAGGAATTTATGTCATTAAGATCATGATTGATGTCAATAATTAGGTCCTTGTGTGAATCTGTTAATGAGCTCAATTCTTTATTGATCTGATGCTGTTGTAAATCCAATTCCGCAATCTCTTGGGTTACAGTTTTGGAATTGGTGGCTGTGGTGGTGAACGTTTCTGTTGACAACAATTCATCATTTATTAGTAGGTCTTCGAGATATTTTTCCGATGATTGGTATAGCTTGAGATCGGTATTTAAAGCATTTCTGTGGGATTCGTCGACGTCATCCTTTAATGCTTCTAGTAGTATCAGTGACATCTCTCTGGTGAGAAACAGTATTCTACTCTATGTCTTTCTAGTTGGTAGAGTTGGTAGAGTTTGTTTTTGGTGATTTCTTTGAGGGAATCATATTTGATCGTTTGTACACGACATTTTTTTAATTATTTCGACATTAGCTAAGCCAAAAGAATTGATACAAAACAGCAAACACTACAAGAGATAGCTAACCAACATCCAGAGCACTCCACCAGCCATGGAAGGAATATTCTTCAACATTGATTATGGTTACGTTGAGGCAGTTGTGAGGGGGTATAGAAGCGGTCTTCTTACTGCCAATCAATATGTCAATTTGACTCAATGTGACAATTTAGAAGATCTTAAACTACAACTTTCATCAACCGACTATGGTAATTTCTTGGCCAATTACTCTGGTCCTTTAACCACATCAGTCATCCAAGAGAATTTGAATAAAAAGATTTACCAGCAATATCAGTATATCAGAAGTCAATCAAGTGGGAAATTGACGAGATTTATGGAATATATACAATATGCATACATGATTGACAATGTTATATTGATGATCACTGGAACCTTGCATGAAAGAGATAAATCAGACATTTTGAAAAAATGCAATCCATTGGGATGGTTTGACACGTTGCCAACGTTGAGTATTGCCACCGACATTGAGAGTTTATATTCAACTGTTTTGATAGATACACCATTGGCACCATTCTTTAAAAACTGTGTTTCTGCTGACGATTTGGATGATTTGAATATTGAAATTATTAGAAACAAATTGTACAAGAATTACTTGGAAGCTTTTATGGCTTTTGTTCAAAGGGAATTTGATGGGCCAGATAAGGAAATAATGACAAGATTATTGACATTAGAGGCTGATAAGAGGGTGATAAATATTGCTTTGAATTCAATTAATAACTCGCAGCTTTCAATTGATGATAAATTGAGCTTGTTCCCAAACTTGGGCCAGTTGTATCCTACTTATCACTTGGAGTTGGCTCAAACTGATGATTACGAACAATTAAAGTTGATTGTTGAAAATATTGGCGATTTCAAGGAGCTCTTCAGTGAAAGTGCCGATGGTAATAGAAGTATTGGTGACGCCTTTTACTTGTTGGAGTTACAATACTGCAGAAATGCATTTACGCAACAGTTTACCTTGAGTGCTGTGTATGCATGGTTAAAGTCGAAAGAGCAGGAGGTGAGAAACATCACTTGGATTGCTGAATGTATTGCTCAGAACCAAAAGAGCAGAATCGAAAACTATATTGCTGTTTATTAAGAGTGTTTAAGTATAAAGTTATAAAAACAATGGTAAGTTACTTGATCTTTCTTTTTTCTTGGACCCAATTTGTTGGCGACTTCTCTTGCTTCCATTACTTGTCTCATGGGCGCCCGTTGTTGTATCCCCTTCACCTGTCCGCTTAAATGAATTTATCAACGGCTCGTGACCCAATCGAGGTATATTCATCAAGGGTGGTTCAGCTTGCTGTGTCTGGTTTTTACCAGCTTGATCCATTTCATCTTGTAAGATCCAATCGATTAAATGCTCATCGTGGTCCAATTCTGTCATGTTTATCGTCAACAAAGTGCCTGGGTAACTACTTTGCTGATGATTTTTGCAAATCAATTGGATTGAAAAGCATCCATCGGCATCTTTAATAAACTTGCATTTAGAACTCAATCGTACTGCTTTGAAGATTTTGTAAAATTCGCCAAACTTAAACTGAGATATGATATGTTGATATGAGGAACTAACGGTTAATTTTTCCATTATTGATTTCTCATTCGGGAAGATAAGCTTTGACATTCCAATAGATCCACTACTTATAAAGTTTAGTATACCATCAGCACAATAAATAAATAGAATCTCAGTATCGATTTGGTATAAATCTTGTAATAAATTTGTCAATACATCACTTTTGAGCATGATTTCGAGTACGATATTTTCATAATTGATTCGCGAAGCTCCTCGTTGCTCATTTTCAACTAATTCATCTTCGTCTATGTAAAATGTGTAGAAATCTAGTCTTTCGGATATGTATGTGTCTTCAAATTCGATAACCAATGGGTACCCATCACCCTTGTACGTAATGGTACATGAGATAGATGCTTCTGATTTCATGGTATTTAGTACCGACGTAAAGCAGTTGGCTATAAGATTAATATCAACTCCTAGTCGTAGTTCCAAATCTGCATTTTCTTCACTTATGCTCTCTTGATCTGATGTCAAATTATACTGGCTAAATAATCCAGAGTCAATATTCACATGAACGTTGATTGTGTAATTATAAGTTGAATATATTGTAATTCCACTAGATTGTATGGTCACAATGGCTTGATTGTTGATGGATATTAAACTCTGAAACACGTCCGAAAGGTGAGCAATTTGATTTGTGGTTGCTGAGAAGTTTACTTGAGGTCGGGGTCTCCATGTGTTTTGTCTAGGTAGAGATAGGTTTAAATCATTTCGTTGAGAAGCTATTCCATGATGCTCTCCTCCATCCTCTTGTGATGATTGGATAAAAAGAGACATGTAAAATAAATGTCTTATCCACTAATGAAGGTACCACACCAGTCGCGTATTAAAGTTTTATTAGCAAGCACGCTACCATGTGTACTTGACAAAATGGAGATTTGAAAGAGACTGTTGCAAGTGAAAACAGGAAGGAGGGGTGTTTGAATATATAACAAGAATTGCTACCATAGTTTAAATGCTAATGGTATGTCTATCTTTCTATCATAGCTTAAGACCTTGAGTCTTTTCGTACTTTTATTTGTTCTTAAAATTTTGCCAAACTCTTCTCATAGACAAAGCAGACTTAGTGAGGTCTTTTCCTTTGAATTAACTTTTTACTGCCTCCCTTGAGTCTACTCTTATGAACTATATTTACCGCTCTACTATACTTTCCAGCTGATGGCACTTCATGGAAAGCATTCGAAGGTTTTAAGGAAGTCACGTGTTTGAATCAAGAGATGAATCCAAAACAAATAACGCTACCATTTACTTGCCAAGAATTTAAGACATCACAATGAATGAAAACAATTGGGTGGACTGGTCTACAACGTCCAACCACTTTGAATACTGAAAGAGTTTTTTGATGGTAATCTAGTTCTAGGAAGAGTAAAAATTCAGCTTTGGATATATTCACCTCACAAGATGATAACTACTGCAGCTACGTGAATAATGTATGCTATTTTGCAGCCGTTGATTCCAGAACCGTTAAAGTGAATGCCAAGATATTAACAAAGGCGGGCTCAAAACAATTCTCTTGTCAGATTAACATAAGAACATCCTCATTTGACTATTATCCGATTCTGCTTAGACCCTTTGCATCAGAATAACACGGCTAAAGACAATTTAGATAGATATGTGATGACATATATTTTACTCTAAAGTGGTACTCCGTCTTTCCTATATACAGGTGTAGTTAAGTTAACTGTAAAGCAAATTAAATTAAATTTAATTATTGTGAAACCTCTTTTGGTTTATTTGTGTTTTTACCCACGCATATCAAAAAAAAGAAAAAGAAAAATACATCAAGAATTAACAAATGACTTTTTAACAACAAATGAGTAAGAAGACTTAAACAGTTACCAACTCATCCTCAATTTAATACATTTTTATATTCAGTTTACAGTTAGAACTCAAGATCCATCAAGAGTCGTTGGGGGGAATTACCACTATTAGAACAATTTTTTTTTACATTTATTGCCTTTATTTGATGATAAGAAAATAAAAAACAAAAAAACAAACCCTTAATTTTGACACATATTAACCAGAACATATAATAATAATAACAGTACATACACATGGTGTGGGCTCAGCTAGAAGTGACAACACCTCATATAGCTTATGCGTGTGTTGGTATATTCAGCACTTTGTTCTCCCTAGTGTCATTATTTGTCAAGGAACGATTGTATATTGGTGAAGCAACTGTTGCCAGTATCGCAGGACTTATCTTGGGGCCGCATTGTCTTAATTGGTTTGCACCCACGACCTGGGGTAATTCAGATTTGATAACGTTGGAGATATGTCGAATAGTCTTGTGTATTCAGATTGTGGCTGTTTCGGTTGAGTTGCCGAGAAAATATATGAAGAAACACTGGCTATCAGTAGCCATTCTTTTGCTTCCCGTAATGACAGTTGGTTGGTTGGTTGTGGGACTCTTTATCTGGGCCTTGATTCCTCATTTCAGTTTTAACGATGGCTTGTTGGTCAGTGCTTGTGTAACTGCAACTGACCCAGTACTTGCAGCTGCTGTTGTTGGTAAAGGTAAGTTTGCTGAAAGAGTCCCTGGTCACTTGCGTAACTTGTTATCTGCAGAGTCTGGCTGTAATGACGGAATGGCATTTCCTTTCATCTACTTATCTCTCAACTTGATTGCTCATTCAGGACATGGTGGAGAAATTGTAAAGGATTGGATATTATTGACGATTCTATGGGAATGTGTCTTTGGATGTGTATTGGGAGTTGTTATTGGCTACGTTTTGAGAAAGCTTGTTGAATTTGCCGAAAGCAAGAACTTGATTGACCGTGAGTCGTTTTTGGCAATTTTTGTATTTATCGCCTTCAATTCAGCAGGAATCGGATCCATGTTGGGTGTCGACGATTTATTGGTGTCTTTTGCTGCAGGAACAACTTTTGGGTGGAATGGTGCATTCGCAAAAAAGACTGAAGAGTCACATGTCTCCACTGTTATTGATTTGCTTCTAAACTTGTCATTTTTTGTCTACTTTGGTGCTATTATCCCATGGCCCCAGTTTAACGATGGTACCATAGGATTGGATGTTTGGAGATTGATTGTCTTGTCGTTTGTCATTATATTTTTGAGAAGATTGCCAGCAGTTGTATGCTTGAAACCATTTACCCCCGACATTAAAACGTGGAGAGAGGCATTCTTTTGTGGCCATTTTGGTCCTATTGGGGTTGGTGCTATTTTTGCAAGTATATTAGCAAGATCCGATCTTGAGGGTTATTTCACAGAAGAGGAGACTCCTTTAAACGAAGTACCTGGCAAAGGCTTTCCTCATGATCAGTTGCTTGTTACTATCTGGCCACTTGTGTGTTTTATTGTGATAACATCCATTATCGTGCATGGCTCCTCTGTGGCGGTTTTAACACTAGGCAAGAGGTTGAACCGAATGGCCATCACCATGTCATTTACAACAACAAACGGTGAAACAGGTGGTGGTGGTTCAAACTGGATGCAAAGATTACAGAAACTCGATAGGGCAAACACTTCATTCTCGTTGCATAGAGTTGACACGATGGCTCCTGATGAAAAAGAAGAGCAGGAAGGTGCACAAGATCAAAGTCAACTACCCGAGACTAGTGGTATCAAAGTACGTCCCGCTGGTGGAGCAAAGAGGAGAAAGAAGAAGCGGAGAAATCAAAAACAAGGGCTTATCCAGAAAACCTTGTCAAGAGTCACTAGCGGTGATGAGGAAGCACAGCAGACAAGACATAGACCACACCAAGAGGTTTTACAGTTGGGTGGTGGACCCCAGCATACCCCTACAAAGAGCACATCTTCTTCAGAACCCGAAGTAACGGCAGAAGTGAAGAATTCGTCGTCATCTACAGAAGGAGAGCACTTACTTGATCCAAATGAAAAAATATCTGGTAGACTGGAGTACGGTGAACGCAGCAAACCAGAGACACCAGTTCCAACATCAGCGTATCAAGAAGGAGATAAGATAATTATAGAAGATCAATTTGGTGAAATTATGGATAATCTTACGTTGGGTAAAAAGGGAGCGATTGCTAATAAAGGGAAGAACCAGGAGGGAGGTACCTCACTATCTGGTGTTGAGGAGCCACAGCAGCATGAGAGAGATGAAGAAAGGGAAGATGAAAGTATTCACTCGGCGGGATCGTTGGAGAGACAGCTTTCTCAATACTCTAATGGGTCTACCATTAAGAGCCAACCATCAGAATCCGACAACGAACAAGGCCCCGGCAGGAAAATGTCCCCCTTACATAAACGGTTATCTCGCTCAGCATCTCGACGCACGTTTTACAGAAAAGACGACCCTAATAAGAAGAAAGTTTATGCCCATCGTATTGACAATATTATCACCATTGAGAATGAAGATGGTGAAATCATAAGAAGGTACAAAGTTAATCGCCATGCCTCCACGTCAAATGCCACCCCAAACAGATCAAGATCATCCACATTGGTTGGTAAAATGAAATCGCTTGTAGGAATCAAACCTACAACCACTGCTTCTTCACAAGCCACTAGTGCCGCTGATCCAACTGTCTCAAGCCCCGGTGTGCCACCGCAGGTGAATGTCACTGATTTAGAAAGCGGTACGCATCATAACATTCTCATTCCCCAGGCTGAACGCGATCCACATCCTGATAGTTCTAAGCTTGATAAGATTGAAGACAAGATTGCAACTATTTTAGAAACAAAGCATGAAAAGGGACATCATTCGGCGATTAGGAAGGCATCTCCACCACCACCGGGTCCTACCGCACATGATGCAATTGAGGAATTTGATGATGAGGATAGTACTGAAGATAATGAGTATGATGATCTGGACGAAGATGAGGAAACCGAAGTTGAAAAAAGAAGAAGATTACAAGCATTGGGTAAATTACCGACTACCAATCGTGACCAGAATGACGAAGAGTGATTTATAGACCCCCCCCCCCCCCCTTGTGTTGGATAACGTATACATATACATACATATATATATATATATATATTTAAGTATTTTTAATGTTTTTGCATACTTTGTTAAAGCTTTTTAATTGAGACCGAGGTTGCGGCTCCATTTCTAAAATGGAAGACAGAAAAAAATTTATTCGTGTGGGGAGAGGGGAGGTTGAAACAGTACAACTTTCCTAGTAGAGACCAACCACCTAGTTTTCAATAGAAACCATGCCGCCGGTAGCAAATCCAGTACCTTCAAGCACCACACAGCCATTTACCTCCAACAGATTTGTGGAAAGTAACTACAAATTAGCATTGAAACAATTCATCAACAAGAACTTTATTGGATCTTTCAAACTCATTCATGACGTTTACTACACCTCGTTTAACGAGTATAGGCAAGGCACCGTTTCAGAAGATTTGCTCATCAAAATCGTCAACTTGTACTTGGTTGTTGTTGGGGTATGTCTAAAAAACAATACGCTTGATCAAGTTCTGGACAATGCAGCTCGTAACTCTTTCACTAGCAACGAAATCATCAATCAAATCAAATCAGTATGGCTTGAGCTTGATATTCCTTATGAGATTAAATACAACATGCAGCTCGTTTACATATCTAATCAAGACTTGATTCGTGACAAAGAAGCGTACTTGCGCGAGTTGAAAAAGTGTTATTTAAACATTGATACCGAAGATAAATACGCCAACAGGTTGCTTGATTTGATTAAATTTGAAATTCTACCCCAGTTCAACCAATACGAGGAAAGCGAGAGAATAATTGGCGATAATGAAGTAGAATTGCTGAAGTTACACCAAATCAAAAGTGAAAAAGAGGATTTTTTGAAGAAATTGAAGCAAGAAAAGATCCAAGCGGAGAAATTGGCCAAGGAAACTAAGGACAAGGAAGAAGCAGAAGCGAAAAAAGCAGCAAAAGAACTGAATTTGAAGTATAGTTCTATTAAGGAAATCATCAATAATTACAAGAATGAAGATAGTCGAGCACCGGTAAAGAATTTGGACCAACGCCAACAAGACCAATCGCAAAATTTAAAACAAAAGTTGACGTATGTGTTGAATATTACGAGAAATTATCTTGCCAAGAACTCGCTTGTGTTGATTGTGCTAATTGTTTTGGTACTTGGGTCAAGCAGGTACTTGAGAAATGCAAATATTAGAGACAAGGTTGTTGAAACGATAAAGATGGCGTTCAAGTTTACGTATGTATAGCAGAAGTGTAGTCTAGTAATATCAAGTACGGCTGTTGCATATGGGGTATAGTCCCTTGTGTCGTATGCTCGTTCACATTCCGCGTTATATATAATCGTCGGTAATATTTTTATTTCTTTTTCACAACCACAGTTTTCCTAAAAGTATACATCACGCCAACTGAAACCATGACAAAGTTGTCACAATCTGAGCAAAAAGGGATGTGGGTAATAGGGTACGGGTCCCTAATATTCAAGCCTCCCCCACTCGTTGCCTTAAAAATAGTCGGTTACTTACAAGGCTACATTCGTCGATTTTGGCAAAGTTCAATTGACCACCGCGGCACACCATCATCACCAGGCCGAGTTGCCACACTCATTTCACTCGATGAGTTACAAGATGATAGATTTTTCCATAATGATTTACACACTTATGAATTTCAAAATGGCGATATTATCGATATTGACCATCTGATTACCAATTTACAACCACAAGATTTAAAAGTTTGGGGTTGTGCTTATTACATATCACCGGAAAATGTCGATGAAGTTAAGCAGTATCTAGATATACGAGAACAGAATGGGTATGAGTTGAAATTGGTCAAATTTTATTTCAAGGATGATGCTGAATCGAGTAAAAAAGTCCCCGAGGCTGACCGTAAAAGAGATGAGTTTGGCGAATATATTGAAAGTCTGATTTACATTGGCGGGTTAGATTTAGAAAGCTTTATTGGTCCTGAACCAATTGAAGCAACAGCCAAGATTATCAGGACAAATGTCGGGCCCAGTGGTAAGAATAGTGAATATCTAATCAAGTTGACACATGCAGTGCGTGAGTTGAGCTGTCGAGATTATTATTTAGAGGACTTACTTAAACTAATAGAATAATAGAATTAATTTTTGCCAAAAATAAAACTCTATGCATGACATTATACGCTTTACTTTATCCTAAATTTATAAAAGCTTCAGCAGCTTGTTCAATCATTCGAGCTAATCGATCGATTTGATCTTGAGCTTGATCAAAATTATGATCCATAATCTCCGAACGGATATTTGGAAACGTATTCCACTCGAAATCATCTCCACTTTCGGGTGCCAGGAAAGGAACACCAAATAATGCATTGACATAGCCCGATCGCTTTGGTTGAGCATCACGTCCTATAAACTCTTCATTGAACCTGAGCATATTGTCATTCCATGCCCATCTTTCCATTGCCAACATAGGTGGTTCTGCACCACCCGTAGCTGTAATCATCGTTTTCCAATCGTTGTGCCAGGTTGAGTACTTGATACTAACTCTTTTCAATATATCCACCGCCAGCTTCAAACCGTTGTAATGCAAAATTGGTTTCACATTCATGTTTTTCGTTATTGAATCAGCAAATCGTTCCAAATCTTGAATGTAGCCTGGTAACAGATTGGATAAATCAATGAAATTATAAGGGATGAATGGGGCTTCTGCGAAATCAATAATCACGCGAGACAAAAGCTCAACCAATTGCACATGTTTTGCCATGGATCTATCAATGTCCCAACTCTCAAAATTTTCAAACGTATCATAACACGAAGTGGATGGGTAATTCTTACCTTTGTATTTCACCTCCATTGCGGGTATATTGACCAAATTAATAAAAGGAACATAATTTTTTTCCTCCATGAAATCGTTTCCAATTGATTTCTTTTGGTCCGAGAAAAGTTGCATCAAAGACTTGCCACTTTCATCAAGTCTCACTTTGGATAATGCTTGATTCAATGTATCTTTCAAGAATGGATGGGCTTTGATTTGAAGTTCATCACCACTGACCAAATCACTCATGTCAATGTACAAATATCCTTCCTTCCTCAACGCTTCCTTTCTGTTTTCGATCCATTCTGTAGCTCCTGCCAAATTGTATTCGGTAGCATCAAATGAAACAAAGTATATGGATCTTGAAGGAACCCATTGGTACTTTCTCTGCAACGAGGTGAGCATTTTAACAAGTTCAAGAAACCCTACTGTTCCCGTGTTGCTGCCCATTGTTCCATAGCAGGCAGAATCACGTACAGAACCAACTATAATTCCCTTTTCAGCTTGTTCCCTGCCTTCGATAGACCCAACAACATTCCAAAAAGGATGAACAGGTCGGTTAGTGTTGGATATTTTCAATTGCAAAGCAGGCGATGAGCCATCCCCACTAGCAAAATCGTCAAATGAGTAACCATTTTTCAACTTCTTAATCAAAGTTTCACCATCTCGCCATGAAATTGGAATTGTAGGTACCCTGGGCGTTGTTTCAGACTTGTCCCAAGAAAGTCGCGTAACAAAACCACCCTCCGACGACCAGCCCGGTGTGAGAATGTCACCAGGAGACATTCTAGTCAAACCCACATTCTCTCTTTGTATAACATCATCCACCTCCGTGTTATCGGCCAATTGAAACTTGGCGGTGATAAAGACGACTGCTTTGGCACCATGTTTCTCGGCCATAAGGACTTTATTTCCTTCGGGCACATTTCCGCCATATTTCACCAACAAGATTTTGCCGTTTGTGTCTATTCCATTATCTTGCAATTTTTGAAAATCTTCGGACCGGCCGTAATTCACATAAAGGTATTCTCCTTTAACAACATCAAGCGTGTTTAATGCATTGGGGTTATACGCGAGATGTTGCATATCCTTGCTATGCTTTTCGTTTAATTTTGCTTCAAACGACCCATCAACTAATTTGAGAAACGTGTCTTTGCTGCTGGGATAGTTTGTAAATGATTGAAACTCGTTTAGATAGACGTTATGTAGTCCGTTGTTTTTCATATACTTTTCAATATACCTGGCAAATGCCAAGTCACCCTTTGACCCCGTAATATGGGGCATAGAAGAAAAATATTCTAAGTTTTCCTTCATTGACTTTGGATCAATAAATTGACGGGCAGAATCAGCTAGCTTATCAATGTCGTAAAACTTTCCTCTGGCAAACGCACCAACATTGGCTCCCGTGATTGAATTGCTTGCAGTGTACTTCGACACCCCAAATATTAGAAGCATCATAATAAAAACATACAAGAGCCTCTTTACCACCAATGGATTTCCCACCTTCAAAATCAGTCTTTCGTACTGCATGTGCAAAAATTTGTATCCCTCATATATCGGATCGATCATCCTACTAACAGGATGTATTAGGCGAGTGTTGACGTTGTTGGCAAACTTTTTAGAAAATGCTTGAGCTCGGTTGAATAAACCACTAGGCTCGTCTAGCGGCGCATCCTCGATCTCAAATTGTTCTATTGGTACTGATGAAGATGAGGATTCGTGTGGGAAGCCATACTGATCACTGTCATACCCCTGCCCGTCGTTAGATTCAATATAGTCGGGTGGATTCAAAGGGAGTTCGTCGTTGCGCAAAGAAGCCTCTGTGGCGAGTCGTTGATATTCGTGTTGGCGCATAATTGGTAATGTGTGATGGGAGGCGTAGCTGTGTGAAAAATAATATCTATTCTTTTCTTTTCTTTTTCTTCTTCTTCTTCAAACGATGACTGTATTAAGTCGTGAAAGGAATGTGTGTGGCTAGAAATTAAATGAAATGAAATGAGTGGTTGTTGTTTAGTGATGACTACAAAGCACGAAAGTGTATTACAGAGGGAGATCTACGTATATTTTATTTGGTGTATTGGGAAAAGAAAGAAAAGAAAATATCTCAGTGTTTATATGCAGTATGTCTATTTTTAAAACTTTCGCAGCTAAGCCTTCGCTTTTAAACTTTTGCAGTACCACCTCCCTTCCCCCTCCCTTATCTCTGTACCATCGAGTAAGACCAAAACTAGAGTTTAGGATATCAAATAGAATTCATTTAACTTAAAGGAATGTATTATCTATAATTATAGCATATACAATAACAAACATATTGGTGTCAATTAGCTCATTTGGTCCCACTTAAACATCAACTGTCTATAGCTTTGCTGAAGCATTTTCTCCATCAACGACACTATAAACCTCGTACTCAAATTTAGCTATATATGGAACAACATACTCATCCATGTAGGGAAATACCTGCACCGCATAAAAGCCACCAATTCCATTTTTAAAGTCAATCCAGTACAGCAAGTTTGCCAATCCGCCCCAGTACAAAGTTCCCAGGGGTCTTCCACTGGGTAATTTATTGGCATTGTATGCGTTTCCAGAAAGGGTCCATCCATCTTGTTTCTTATCAGGTGCATCATCATCAACAAAATTATGGGCCAATCCAATAAATTCCAACTCGACATTTTCGGGTAAATGGTTCTGCACCGCGTACTCAACTGTCTTTTGCGATAGGATACGTTTATCCCCATCAGGACTGTACCCAAAATTTAGCCAAACACGCATAAATTTCAAGTAGTCGCCAACAGTTCCGAAGCAACCTTGGCCTCCTAGATCCAAGTTAGGGTCCAAGGGCAAGCCAAACTTTTCCTGCAACTTCAACGATGCGTCCTGTTTCCTGTAATGGACTCGGTTCATATTGTTATAATCCTTTTTATGAAACGTGCATGAAGCCATACCAACAGGGTCAAAAATCTCCTTCTTTAGAAACTCGCCCAATTTCTGACCCGATATCTTTTCAATAGCAAACCCCAACCAGTCAATGCTGTAACCATACATCCAGTTAGATCCTGGCTCAAAAACTAATGGTGCCTTTTTCAAAAAAAACTCAAGTGTGGGGTTTGAGGCATCCAATTTTGGTTGTCCTTTTGTGATCAATGTAAAATAGTCAGGGTGAATAAATCCGTAGGAGAAACCAGCAGTATGCGTCATCAAATGCCGAGCAGTAATTTGAGTTTTTGGTGGTTCCAATGGCTTCTTAAACTCACCTGTTTTTTTATCAATGATTCCTGGTTCAAGAACCCCAACTGATGAAATTTCAGGGATATATTTCGACACTGGGGCATCTAAATCTAATTGGCCTCTTTCGTACAAGATTAATGCACCCATAACTGTCATTGATTTAGTACAGGAAAACAAGGCGTACAAGTGATCGTTGGTTGCAGGCTCTTTGGTGTTGAGGTTTGTGACTCCCTTAGTGTTGAGATAGACTGTTTTATCCTTTTGTGTTAGACCTATAGTACATGATGGCGCAACAAGAGGTGGATCAACACCTTGGTTAAAAGTAGTTACCTCAGTGAGGATTCCATCAAGGGGTCCTTTCAACTTATCAAGGTCACGGCTGAAAAATTTCATATTGGTTAAGTGGAGTGGCACTTGATGTAAAAAAAATGACAATCCAATCAAATAATAAGTAAAAGTTTAGAAGATATCCTTTATATGTGAGCTAAGGAAAAGTTGAATCTAATGAGTAAAAGGGGGGGAAGAAAGTGAAGTTGAAAATATCCAAATATATATATATATAGATAGATAGATAGATAGATAGATAGATATAGATATAGATATAGATGTATACATTTTAACCCTGGTGATATAAATTGAGAGATTGTTGGGGTTATAGACACTTGGCATACAAATTGTTCTGTTTTTTTTTTCATGTGCACTTCTTTCTCCACATTTTATCTTTTGATTAATTATAAGCGGGTTTTATTGTCTTGCTATATCCAAGCGTATGTGCATTATTAAATACTACCACATCATAGAATAATTACAAAAGCGAAATAGACACTGTTATACCCGAATGTCTCAACGTATTCACAGTTTTTATAAGCTAGTGTGACAACTGAAATTGGAGTTACTGAGGTTGAAAAACACAGATTCTATATATATATGTATATATATATATGTATATAGAGCTATGTATTCCTCCTTGTTTTAACAGCACTACATGAAACTGTGGTACTTACTATTATTACACTACAGTAGATAGTTTTCATTGTAGGTTCTTCTCTCTTCTGTGATAAGATTTGTCACTATCAAAATCTAATTGTTTTATTGTTTTTATTTCCTTTTATTTCTCGTTTTCAATTATTTTTTTGCAACTTTCTATCAGAATATCAAAATAGTCAAAAAGTATGGATTTTTACACTCTATTTTCTTTATTTTTTACAAACCACACAGAGGCAAACAGATTCAATTACATTTCTGTTAATAAGTTCCCAATAATAAAGCAAATGTCATCATTACAGCTACTCGTTGTGCTTCTAAGCGGAATACATCTCATATTGGCAAACGTACATCCAATCACGATTCATGGTCACTACTTTGTCAACAGTGTCACCAAAGAACCAGTATGCAAATAAATAATAATGCCCAGAATTGAGGTTATTTAAAAAGCTTATACTAACAGAACATCACTAGTTCTATATAAAGGGAATAGACTATCAACCAGGAGGATCGTCGGCAGTTTCCAGTGTCAAAGATCCATTATCAGATCCTGTTCAATGTGCAAGGGATATAATACTATTCCAGGAGTTGGGCATCAATGTATGTATTACTGGGTAAGGAATTGCAGTTGCATCCAACCCATACTAACAGCAATCATTATTATATTAGACGATTCGAATTTATTCGGTAAATCCAGACTTGAACCACGATAAATGTATGACAATGTTGGCAGCAGCAGGGATATACTTAGTACTCGATGTCAACTCGCCGTTACCCAATCACCACTTGAACAGATACGAGCCTTGGACTACTTACAACTTGTTTTATTTTGAAAATGTATTCAAAATTGTGCAGCAGTTTTCATCGTACAACAACACATTGGGGTTTCTTGCTGGAAATGAAGTAATCAACGACCCCATATCGGCATCGGTAGCTGCACCTTATATAAAAGCAGTAGTTAGGGATATCAAAAACTACATCAACATTCATTCGCCTCGACCCATACCGGTTGGGTATTCAGCAGCTGATGACTTGAATTACCGAATTTCACTTGCTAGATATCTCGAATGTGCTGACAATAACTTGATGGAAAGTGTTGACTTTTATGGGGTAAACTCCTATCAATGGTGCGGTGATCAGACTTTTTACAGCAGTGGATACAACATTTTGGTCAACGACTATAAAGGCTACAGTAAGCCTGTGTTTTTCTCCGAGTATGGTTGCAACGAAGTGTTGCCGAGAAACTTTGACGAAGTTCCCGTGTTGTACACAAATGATATGATTGACGTTTTTAATGGTGGATTGGTTTATGAATTTACTCAAGAGGCAAACAATTATGGATTGGTGGAAATTTTGCCCAACGGCGACGTTAAACTATTACGCGATTTTATGCAATTGAAACAAAAATTTGACTCGATACCAGAATTGGATTACAACTTTATTATTGAAGCTATGAAGGAAAATGCAAAGGAAATTCAAATGCGTATTAAACAAACGCAGTCAACCATTCCTCGATGCCAAGACCTGTACCCCAACTTGGACATTTCGAAAGGTATTCCCGACACAATTGTCGAAGTTATGATTGACACTGGCGTAAACGTTGAACGAGGCAAATTTGTGCACTTGGACAAGAGTGAATTGCATACTAATAACGTGTTTTTTCAACCAAATGGTGAAGTGTTTAATACACTTTATGAAATCGACATAGTGGTTGACTTTGAGACTGACGATGTGAATACCAACGACAAGCAGCGACTGCAAAAAAGTAGTACGTATAGTCCTCACGATACGAATGATGCGGAACGAACAGATAAGGTTTCAGATCCAGAGCTGCACAGCGAGCAAAAGCAACAATTTCAGAAAGAGCTTCACGGAGGGGAAGATAATCATGACAACGAAAATGAACACGATGAGGAGAAGCCCAATGTGATTGTTGAGACTTTTCACAAAGTCACCGATTCAGTCAAGAATTTTTGGACTAGTATATTTACCTAACTAGTACGTGAAATCATTCTCCATGATAATATTGACATCAATACTAATATACCCCTCCTCAGCATCATGGCAAAATAGCTATAACTTGTTACAATTGGTATCACTTTGTCTCCTTTCTCTAACTGTATTCTGAAATAGTATATAGATCAACAAGGTCATGCAGTTGTATTTTCAAATTGTTCTCCTGCAACTCCAACGGTTTCAAGAATATTTCCCACTCTTGAGGAGTCAATGTTTCAACCAACTTATCCAGTTGCTGCTTTTTGAATCCACATTTCTTGCAAGTATTTACTCTAACTGGCGTCTTCTTCAATAATATGATCAAGTTAGGCACAAAGGAGACATACTTCATAAACGTCTCAAAGTTGTTAGTTGGAGGTTCAATCCACGAATCAATGTCTTCATGTAAATTATCATGTTTGAGATAATTGAATAAATCAAAATTTTTCAACACAAGAGTTCTCAAATTGGCATAATTTCCTTCTCCAGAACATAAGAGACGGAAAAAGGGATTGAATTTTGTAAAGTTGAATTCCCCATTTGTGTAGAATACAGTGGATTTTAAGTCAAGAATCAAAGTGTTGAGTTTGTTATTTAGTTTGACCAAGTCAATCAAAGATAGTTGCATTGAACTTGTAAGGCCTTGTAATTCCAAACTCGAGACATCTTTGAATAATGGACTTGGTGCCTTAATCTTTTTAATTGAATACGAGCACGATTGAAAGGTAACCTTTTGGACTTTGATATCAACATTTATAGGTTGATCAATAATGAAATCAATCAAGTGCAATTCACGAATCGTGTCAAAATATTCACAAAATAAAGACAAGTGTATATCCTTTAATGGGATGGACCATCCCGATTGCGGCCTAAGAACCAATCGATCTAGGCTCCTTTTCCGTTTTGGTGCTTTCCGCTTAAACAAACTTGTGGATGTCTTTTGTTTATATTCCAAAGGGAATGCAAATTCAGGCGCAATTTCAGTAAACTGCATGCATTTCAATCCATACGCATGAGAAAACAAAGTTCCTAAAGTAGAAATGAACCCTGTATAGCTCAAAGTGTCAACCGTGCGGCTGTTTGACTCTACGGCATAGCTCCCGCCTATATTGATGCTCTGACTCGACGATTTTTTAATTTGAGGATTAATGAACATGACATTCTCGAGGTAGTTGATCTTATTACTCACTTCTCCCGTTAAATGCTGATGGGCAAATTTGAAAAATTCTGTCGATGTGTGGAATTGAACTTGCCGATATAAAAAGTACTTGCAAATGATTTGGTAAAAGTGGCTGCAAGTTCGAGCCATCGGTAGCAATGACTGTCCGTCGTTGTGAAGTGAGCCAAATATTCGTAGTTGTATCTCTAATGGTAATGAATGCAAATGGGTTACTGGATAAGTGACTGCCTCTTTTCTTTTGGGAAATCTATTGTTCAGCTTGCGGCCTATAAGTTGGTACTTTTTCATTATATGTGGGGTTTAGATACAGATGACCTATGATGATGCAATAAATGATTTATACAAAAGCGTATGATGTACGTTGCTTGAAGGTTGAAGTGCTCTTGAAGTGATTAATTGATGATTTTCGAAAGAATAGAAATGAGCGGTGGCTCGATCGAACAATGGGAAGATGCACGATACACAAAGTCTTTATCACTCTTGCCGAGTCCCAGTTAAAGTTAGCTCGACCGCCTCGCTTTTTAAACCAACAATTTTATACCTTTTTCGAACCCACAAAAAGTCCTTTATAAACCTTACTGCATATATTTCCATCTTAGGAAGGAGATTCAAGTCGTCGACAACATACATTTTCTACAAATTAGTCACAAACAAAGATAAAGACTATTACATTGTTACGTTACTTACTTCTATGCACACACCCACAAGGCATTGTTAGTCTACCGACGCAATTTCGTTCTCATTTCCTCATAGGCTTGTCTCAACTGAACATATCCCAAGTGTATTTTCCCAATAAAGTGGTCGGCCAACCGTCTGTCATTATCTAATCGAGACAAATACGCGCCACATCCATCACACACTTGCAACTTTTGCTGTGATGTTTGACCGACGTTTTCAATAAAGTTTCTTGCTTGTTTACTGGCAATATCTCTTTGCTTTGACTTCTCATTCAATTTTATTGACAAATCAATAATTTTCAAGGTCTGGTCATTATCCTGACTCTGATTTAGCTTGATCAAATAGTTTAGTTCCTGAATCATCAACCCAATCTCTATATCTAGTTCGTCCAAGTCCCTTGTGATCTGGGAAATCTTTGCCTTTTCCTCTGGTGTATGCTCCAACCTCTTTTGTGCTATTGATATGGTTCGATCAAGATCTCGTACATACCTTTGTAGGATTTCGAAATATTCAGCTTCCATTTCCGGAAATTTTTGACCCAACTTCTTGGTCTTGTACTCGTACTCCAATTTGTGTTTCTGGAGATGTAGGCTTGGACATTTCCCCAAGTCTGATTTAGTGCCTACAAATAGGTCATGGGGGCAAATGCCCACTACAAATGCCTTGCAGACCTGTGGCGATGTCATATCTGGATCGCGGTAATGTCGTATAGACAGCAGCTGTGAATTTCTTCCCATAAGCTGCTCTATCTGCCTTCGCTGTTCTTCCGCCATTGTGTCCTTTGTGATAAATCGATGTACTGTGTGATGTGTTTAATCGAAGAAACTTATTTTTATTGCAAAAGTTTTTTTGTTTTATATATACTTCGCGGGTTCTACCAAGAACTTTGATATATTCTCTACACACAACTGTAAGCTACAAAAGTTACTTGCAAATTTATATAAACAAGAGCGGACTTTGCAAAGTTAGTCCTGTTTGCCTGTCTTTTCTTCAGTCACTTCGACTTCTTTAAAGCCTTCAGGTTTGAGATCGCCTTTTCCAATCTTTTCCTTTGAGACATAACCTAATGCACTTAATCTCTCAGGCAAGATAGGATGTGAATAATGGAATGATGAGTACAACCAGTCGGCATTCATACTTGACAAATTCTTGTTTGACAATTTGATCAATGATCTACTCAATTCTTCAGCGTATCCACAATCAAAAGCATACTTATCAGCATCATACTCGTGCTTTCTTGACACCAAGTTTTGCACAAAAGTTAACACACACTCCAATGGTTGTAAAATGTCACCAAAAAGCATGAGACTAATCAAAACTGGCTGCTCTCGGTAGAAACCAAACGAGGTAAACAAAGATTTGTTGTTGACGAATACTGAAAATAAGGAGAAAATGATAAAGAAGTGAACCTGTTGCATAGCAAGCATTTTAGGAATATGATTCAATCTCCAATGGCCAATCTCGTGCGCCAATACTGCAACCGTTTCTTCAATAGTGTTATGCTCGATCAAGGTGTCAAATAAAACAATTTGCTTACTCCAAGGCAACCCAGTGAAGTATGCATTTGAATGGGAAGAGCGCTTGGATCCATCTATAACCTGTAACTTTTGTAAAGGGAATTCCTGTGACGCGGCCAACGACTCAATGGCGGTCTTTAGTTCACCCTCTTCCAAAGGTGTAAACTTGTTAAACAAAGGCATAATCAAAGTTGGAATTATTGTCATTGCAACCAAGTTGATGAACAAAAAGAATCCCATCAAGTAGAAGATAAATGAGTTACCAAAATAGTCAATAATCTTCAACACGCCGGCAATCACTGGAGATCCCAAGAAAAAGAGGAGGCCAATTCCTTTCAACTTGTCTGAGATCCATAATCCTATAGTTTGCTTGTTAAAACCGTATTTTTCTTCCAAGACAAAGTTACTGTAGTAACTCAAAGGCAAGCCAACAATGGTGCTTAACACCTGCGAGGTGAAAACAAATATGATTGATTGAGTGATGACCCCACCCATGAACTTAGGCAAGAGAAACCCGATAGCGCTCATTATTGCACCGCTTTTGGACCAAAGCTTAGGCAAAAAGTCAAAGTGTAAAATGGCCAAGTTTTGCAACAAACCAAAGGATGATGAAAAAATGGAGAATTTCGCCTTTGAACGGGAATACTTCTGTGACTTGTCAAATGTTGATTGGTCTACCTCGGCTTTGATCGATGCTGGAGGCGATTTGTTCTTCAAAACTTGGTATTGTCTATAGTCGAGATAGGTTTCAAACACATATTGACCAACTGTAAATCCTGCGATAATTAACTTCCAATTAATTTTGGGGCTGTCAAGAAACGACAATGGCTGGAGGATATTATTAGTACTCTGTCAACTCTCATGATAAAGATGGTTGTATACATACGTCCACAATTGAAACCATGATTAAAGGATGGAAAAATGTGTGCTGTTGTTGAAATAATTTTTGTCGCTACTTAAAAATAGCACTTCCACGTCCACTACCAACTCCATACAGGACAGTTTCATACAGGACAGCCACACGTCTACAACCCATGCCCGACTATACAGAAGACACATGCCTACATTACACCCTTAGTTCTTCTTCAACATTTATTTCTTTTTTGACAGTCTAAAACCTTAGTAGATATGAATATATATGTATATGCTATACTTTACCTACTGATGCACTTATTTAGCTTCAGCAGCCATCTTTTCAGCCTTGGCAACAGCATCTTCGATACCACCAACCATATAGAAAGCGTTTTCTGGCAAGTTATCGTACTTACCTTCCAAAACTTCCTTGAACGATTTGACGGTTTCAGACAATCTGACTAACTTACCGGAAATACCAGTGAAAACTTCAGCAACAGCGAATGGTTGAGACAAGAATCTTTGAATCTTACGAGCTCTTTCGACGGTCAATTTATCTTGTTCAGACAATTCATCCATACCCAAGATAGCAATGATATCTTGCAAGGACTTGTAAGCTTGCAAAGTTTGTTGGACACCAGTGGCAACATCGTAATGTTCTTGACCAACAACAGCAGCATCTAACAATCTTGACTTAGAATCCAATGGATCGACAGCTGGGTAGATACCCAATTCTGAAATACCTCTAGACAACACAGTAGTTGCATCCAAGTGAGCGAAAGTGGTGGCTGGAGCTGGATCGGTTAAATCATCAGCTGGCACGTAAACGGCTTGGACTGAGGTAACTGAACCCTTCTTGGTGGTGGTAATACGTTCTTGCAAAAGACCCATATCAGTGGCCAAAGTTGGTTGATAACCGACAGCAGATGGAATACGACCCAACAAAGCAGACACTTCGGAACCGGCTTGGGTGAATCTGAAAATGTTGTCAATGAACAACAAGACATCTTGACCTTCTTCATCTCTGAAGTATTCGGCAATGGTTAAACCGGTCAAAGCAACTCTAGCTCTAGCTCCAGGTGGTTCGTTCATTTGACCGAAGACCAAAGCGACCTTAGAGTCACCTTCCAAGTTGATAACACCGGTTTCCTTCATTTCACGGTACAAATCGTTACCTTCTCTAGTTCTTTCACCGACACCGGTAAAAACTGAAAAACCACCATGGGCTTTGGCGATGTTGTTAATCAACTCTTGGATGAAGACGGTTTTACCGACACCGGCACCACCGAATAAACCAATCTTACCTCCTCTGGCGTATGGGGCCAACAAGTCGACAACCTTGATACCAGTTTCCAAAACTTCGGCAGCAGTGGATTGCTCAATGAACGAAGGTGGTTCAGCGTGAATTGGGTTTCTCTTTTTACATTCAATTGGACCTCTTTCATCAATTGGGTCACCAGTAACATTGATGATTCTACCCAAGGTACCTCTACCAACAGGAACAGAGATTGGGGCACCAGTGTCAGTGACAGAAGTACCTCTAACTAAACCTTCGGTACCATCCATAGCAATAGCTCTGACGGTGTTTTCACCCAAATGTTGAGCGACTTCCAAGACCAAGTCTTGTTTACCGTTCTTCAAGGTCAAGGCGTTCAAAATAGCTGGCAAATTTCCTTCTTCGAATTGGACATCAACAACGGCACCAATAACAGCTCTAAATAAAGTTTTGTTAGTATTACGTACAGTAGTCGGTGGAGTCAGATTTGGATCAATGTTCCTATTCGCCGACAGTTGGAAATTTTTCATGGACGTGTACTGCGGACGAAAAAAAATTCCATTTCACTTCAACCATCGTGGCGACCAATCAAAAGACAGATCAGCACTGGCAACTTCAATTGAATCATGTATGGAAAAGTTCATTGATCGGAGAGTGACGACGAGAAGTATTGCCAATTCGTAATTAAAATAGCAAATTCAGGTCCCCCCTCTTTACCCGCTCCCAAAACTGATCCAAGACCGATGTTGCGCCATTGATCATTGGGCAGACCAGTCAGTCCCAATGATTGATTGCTAATAGTCAATTGATCCAACTGTAAGCTGTAGAATTGACCTCAATGCCAATTTGATGCTGTTTAGACAATTAAATTAAAAACATACCTGACTTTACCATCAGCTGCTTTGGCAGCAGTAGCTAAAGATCTGGTGCTCAATCTGGCTGCTTGCACAGCAGTACGTGAAGTAGCATTAAATAATCTTGGCAACACCATCGTTATAGTTTGGAACAACTTTGGCTATTTGATGGTTAATGCTTATTCAAATATTGTTACTGAAAAGTCAAAAGTGAAATATAGAGGGAAAAAAAATTGTTGAAGCTTTAAAGTCGTTGATAATTTTTTTTTTCGGTACCACTGTACACACACACACACACACACGCATAGTGTAACTCTTTTTTTCTCTCTCTGCAAAGACTAATTATTATTGGGTGGTTGATGTATAAAGCGCTACCGTCTTTTCTTACCAATGAAATAAATTTAAATTTATTTTGCCGGAAAGAAAAAACGAACAGCTCAGCGATTAACCAATGAAATTAGGACAATGGGTCGTGCATAAATTTTCAACATTTCTAATAACCGGGGACACAATTCATTATACAAAATACAGTCCGCTACCAGCTGAACTTTTGCAACACAGACGGTTGTTCAACTTCGCCTTCTACCGGAGTCAGAGTGGATCATGAGTGAGAGACTCAAAGAATCAAATCGAAAAAAAAATCACTGTTCGGTGACTTATAAAACTATACACTTTGTAGTACGTTCACGTTTGCCTTTGCATCATCGATTGTCTGTCTCAACTTTTGAGGATAACTCTGGTATATTAGTTTGGTGTTGGTAGGAACACATTCAAGGTCTAAGATGCACTTTAAGCAGACTCTTCTCGACTCGGTAGCAATTTTCGCCCTGTGTTTTGTCCTTTTCATTCCTTTCATCTTACCATCGACGTGCTTGTTTACCGCCTTTTTCTGAAATTGCTCCTCCTCTAGTGAACGTAACCTCCTTGACTTCCGTCTTTTGGAATCGGACTCCTCTTCAGGTTCACAAGATCTCTTCTTTGCTTGAGAAATCAAAATGTCATACTCATCCATTACACATTTCGCTTTTGCAATAGCTTGTAATTGAATGGAGCTGGCAGATTCAGATAAAGTGCTTGCATCGGTAGAAGAAGTGTCCCTGACGACTTCTTCTTGTGGTGAAATTTCAGGAGTAGGAAGCTGTTGTTCGTACTCGGATCTCTCATGTTTAATTCCTTCGCAAATAGACTTGTCTTGATCTTCACCAGGTGCGCTATACAACTCGCAATACTGATAACCCAAATGTGTCTTGCACTTGAAGCATAAATCCTCTACCTCATCCTCAATCTCACCCTTTTGCTCCAAGTCAAACTGACGTTTCTTGTAAGCTTTGGGTCTGTACTCAATCTCCATGTTTTTGAGCTTCGCACTACGCAAGAGGATCTCTTGATCATTTAGAAACCTTTCAAGTACATCTATGCTCCTTTTTGCCAAGCTCAAATTTCCCCGCTTTGAATGATGGTTAAAGTCCTTTAAAATGTTCTCCACTAATTCGTAGTAATTGAATACATCCTCCTTCTTGATTGGCCTGTAATCATGTACTGACCGTTCTCCAAACTCCAACCAGTCGTCCATAGCAAAATTCACTGCCTCATTGAAATTGAATCCACTATTAAATCCAGCATGGTAAACCTTTGGGTATGTAATTACAAACTCTCTGGGGCCCTGGTCAGCATATACGCAGGGTATGCCATGTCGCACCAACTCGGCGGGATTTATTAAAGTCACCAACTGGTGCAATAAATCTGGCTGTTTTTTAAACAAGTCGGGAGCCGACTTTCTCATCAACATTTCAAACTGATCTGCGTGAGACGAGGGTATTCCGTACCACTTTTTGGTTGCTCCAAAGTGGCAATAGTTGGCAGATAAAGTGTAATGGTCTTCAACGTGCCAACAGAATGTCGAGAGTAGTGAACCGATATAAATCCAAGGTACAGTCATACCCGAGATTGATGTGTTGATGTAGTTTAGTAGCGACCCTTTGGCAAATGGCAATTTGGTGAGGTTGTAAGGATGGTTTATGTAAAAGCGGTTTTCGGCATTTGCCAAATCTATGCTGGGAGTGTTTGCCATAGGAAACCCACTTATTTCACCTGGCTTTAAGTTGTGTATATCGGCACCATATAACACTTCCAAGTCCGACTTTTCAACGTCAACAAAAGACCAGAACTTTTCCTCTAGTTCATCCAAGGTTGGCTTTTTACTCTCGTTGTAATCCTTTGCAAAATTCTCATCAAACTCCTGGCACATTTTGTAGAACTCAGGGATGCTGTACTTGATTTCAGGATGCTCCTCAAAACCATAGTCTCCGGTGCCAACGAGACACTTGTCGCAGTACCAGTTTGTTGCTGGAATTTGGCTCAATGGTGGATTTAAACACTTCATGTGAAACGCATGATCGCAATGATCACAAAGCAAGGTCTCCTGCGGGTTGTCATTATCACCACAGATTAAGCAGTTTTCTGATTCACTATCGGAATCGCTCTCGGGAAATTCAACAGATTTGTTGCACTTTAAAAAGCTGGCATAATATTTAATGGATGCGTTATATTCCATTTCGATGACTCGTGACTTTGGGTCAACTCCAAAAGTCTTGTTCACTTCCTGCCAAATTGACTTATCCAATGCTTGGAAGCCTCCCAACTTCTCCACAAGTACGTACAAATCATAATAGTAAATTTTATGGCCGTCAACTTTAAAACTGAGCTTCAATAACCGCTTTCTTCTCATATTCAAGAACCGGTTGATACTCTCTCTAAAGAACTTTCTCGATCTAGTTGTGATTCCCAAGTCACTAATGACTTGCTGCCTGACATGAAACTTGAAAGAAGGTGAAATTTGAAAACTGGGTTTCCAGTCCTCTGGTGGGACAATTTTCACAATACCATACTTTTTTCCCAATTCCGATATAGGACTACTGGATAGATATCCAATAGGGTCCATGAATTCTGCCTCAGTGGGGCGTAAAATTGGACACGGAGTCAACAAGTCTTTATCAAATTTTGACATTTGAAAGTAGTTAAAAGTTTGCAAAATGGGTATTAGTCAATTCCTGCCACCTGAGCGACGATGAATTTGCAGCAAAATAAGTAGCCTTGTTTAATAATATTGTGTGTTTGAAAACCCACCCTTTGTCAGTCTGATTTTGCAACGTCTTGTATTTCGGATATCTTTTTTTCTTCCTTTTCTTTTTTTTTCTCTTTTGCTTTCCTTTAATTTTCCCTTTTTCCTTTGCTTTTGAATGTTACAAAGAAAATTAAAACGTCGCCCTGTGTAGCACTGGTGTGTATGATGTCTTTGCAGTGTTTTTCTGATCGAAATGTCTTTACCAAAGGCTATAGGCATCTCCTTGACAGATATCGTTTTTGCTCTATTTAGTGTAATCATTTAGAATCGACTGATTCTTTTTCTGCAATTCTCTCCCACTTAGAATTCCCAAAAAGGAAGGATCAAACGAAAGATGAAATCAGTATATCAAAATAACTGGTTTTGTGTAATTTGTCAGCGGTGATTTCCAAATGTTGAAATTTTTCAAAATGTCGAGTAATACAGCCCCACCTGTTCTCTTGCAAGACCTCATAGTAAGTGAAGAGAGAAATAGCTATAGACACACCAAGATGAAGGATTATACAATTGTCGTTTTAGGATGCGGAGTGATGGGATCTGCAATCACTTCTGCAATTTTAAAGTCTAAATTTGAGCCATATCCAAAGAAGATGATTCTCTGCACTGCGGAGCCAGAAGCTTTATCTAAAGCATTTAAAGGTGAACCCATTATTGAATTGGCATCAGGTGTGGAGGAGAACCGCAAGGCAGTAAAACAAGCTGATGTCATCATTTTAGGCCTTAAACCATTCATGTACGAAGAAGTATACGAACAGGTGAAAGATTCGCTTACGGGTGATCAGCTTATCATTTCATTGATGGCAGGTGTTACCATGAAAGACTTGTCGATTTTCTCCAAACATGTGGCCAAGGTGATGACAAACACCCCAGCTAGATATGGTTGTGGAACAGCTGCGATCTCGTTTGCACCTGATGTGACCAAGGAGCAACAAGAGCTTGTAAGAAAATTAATTGAACCAATTGGCTTAACTGTTACGATTCCAGAAAAGAATATGGACATAGCTACTTCGTTGATTGGATCGGGTCCCGCTTTTTGTTTATTGATGATGGAATCAATGATTGATGGAGCAGTAAGAATGGGAATGCCATATGATGTTGCCAGGATCTCTGCAGCCAAGGTGATGGAAGGTACCGCAAAAATGTTAATTGAGACTGGTGAACATCCAGCTGCATTGAAGAGCAAAATTTGCACTCCTGGGGGAACAACGATCGGGGGTATATTGAAGATGGAGGATGGTGCATTAAGAAGCTCCATTGCAAGAGGAATTGAAGAAGCCGCAAATATCTCAGCCTCCTTTGCCAAAAAGTAGACATTGTGGGTAGTTTGGTTTCATAATCTATATACATTCAACTCGCATCCTATTTAAGATCTTTATTTTGGAACATGTATGCACCAGTCAAGGTTGCTAACTCCTCTTGCGTCAATCCAGTTTCTTTAGAGTCCAAGAAATTCTTCAACTTGGCGCCATGTTCTCTCACTTCCTTATCAGCCAAAAGCTTCATCATTTGAGAAATGGAGGGCTTTCCTGAAGACAAAAGCCCCTTTTTGCTCAATAGTTCCTTAAATTCGACCGTCAATTGCATTAATTCTGGGTTCTCTGACAATATCTTCTTTACCTTTGTGAATGCTTGTTCTTGCTGTTCAGCTGAAGGTGCCTTGTCGAAGAAGTACCTAGGAGTGGTATAAGTGAATGTTCTTCTATTGACATTGTTGACTATAGATACATATGGTCTGATTCTGATACCTGTTTTAAACATCCTTTCTGCGTTTTGGTATTCCTTTCATTCAACCTCAGATCTTCAAGGGCAATTTCAAAACTTCGATTTACCACTACTACAACGCGATATCCCATATTCTGTCACCTTTTGCACGACCTCCCTCTCGACGAGAAAGTGAAAAATTTCAACAACCAAAAAGAGAAGAAGCTCAGGAACAAAATTGACACGCACTAGATGTTGAACAAAAAAAAGAAGTCATTTGACATCAACTTCAACTGATTACACAACTCAATCCATCTCATCAATATGTCTCACGAAGGTCAAGAAGAATTGTTAGACTATTCTGACTCCGAAGAAATTGCCGTGCCAACCACCACCCAAGCAGGTGGTGATGGTGAAGCCACCAATGACAAAGAAGCTGATAAAAAAGGTTCTTATGTTGGTATTCATGCAACTGGTTTCAGAGACTTCTTATTGAAGCCAGAGTTGTTGAGAGCTATCGGAGATTGTGGTTTTGAACATCCATCAGAAGGTTCGTAACTATTTTATTACTATTTGAAGTGACCAATGTTTCTTTTTGATGGTGCTATGACAATGTCAGCTACTGCGGAGGAACAGAATTGAACACTCCGTCTTGAAGTGGAAAATTCAGGTTTTATTGTCAAATTTATCCCTTCCAATAAGCTACCCATGGTGAGAGTGATAGCTGGAAGATATAAGTCGAGTCTGAACGTTTCTCAAAGAGCTACTTATGTGACTAGTTTTAGCCCATCCCCAAGTAAGCAAGTCCTTCAATCAATTCCAAACAATTAACTAACATCAAATCAAGTTCAACAAGTTTGTATCCCTCAATCAATTTTGGGTACTGACGTTTTATGTCAAGCCAAATCGGGTTTGGGTAAGACCGCCGTTTTTGTTTTGTCCACCTTGCAGCAATTAGATCCTGTGCCTGGTGAAATCTCTACTTTGGTCATCTGTCACACCAGAGAATTGGCTTATCAAATTAAGAACGAATACGCCAGATTCTCCAAATATATGCCTGATGTTAAAACCGATGTCTTTTACGGTGGTACCCCAATTAAGAGAGATATTGAAAAATTGAAAAACAAAGATACTTGTCCACATATTGTTGTTGCTACTCCAGGTAGATTACATGCTTTAGTCCAAGACAAAGCTATCAGATTAAATAATGTCAAGTCATTTGTCATTGATGAGTGTGATAAAGTTTTAGAAGCAATCGATATGAGAAGAGACATTCAGGATATTTTCCGTGCCACCCCACATCAAAAGCAAGTTATGATGTTTTCGGCTACCTTATCTCAAGACATCCGTCCAGTTTGTAAGAAATTTATGCAAAATCCATTGGAGATTTATGTCGATGATGAGGCCAAGTTGACCTTGCACGGTTTGCAGCAATATTACATCAAATTGGAAGAAAAAGAAAAGAACAGAAAATTGTCTGACTTGTTGGATTCATTAGAGTTTAATCAAGTTATAATCTTTGTTAAGTCCACTCAAAGAGCAAATGAATTGAACAAGTTGTTGTGTGCTTGCAATTTCCCTTCCATTGCTGTCCACTCTGGTATTCCACAAGAAGAAAGAATTGAAAGATACAGATCATTTAAGGAGTTCAACAAGAGAATCTGTGTTTCGACCGATGTCTTTGGTAGGGGTATCGATATTGAGAGAATCAACTTGGCTATCAATTACGATTTGCCAAATGAAGCTGATCAATACTTGCACAGAGTTGGTAGAGCTGGTAGATTCGGTACCAAAGGTTTAGGTATTTCCTTTGTTTCGTCAAAAGAGGATGAAGAAGTTTTGGAAAAGATTCAAAGTAGATTTGACGTCAAGATCACAGAGTTCCCAGAAGAAGGTGTTGATCCATCAACATACATGAACACTTGATTTTTTGAATATGTACTATGTACGCTTTGTATTAAAGTTAAATGAAATGTAAAAGTTTTTATTGAGTAGCTCAAGATATAGTAGAAACTCTCATCCTATGGATCTACATGTTTGATCAATAAGCCGGTATACATCCCTCAAGTCCTGTTTCGGGATCAAGAACCACTCCACATGCACGTTGTAATTATTCTGCAATGGAACCTTCTCTTTATTCTTGTTTCTCGTTAAAGCCTCATCTGATATGCATCCACTGCAATAAACATCACCTTTACCATACTTTTTCCGCATTTGTTGATGAATCATACTTTCAACAGTATTGACATTTTCTTCACAATAAAATCCATCCTTTTTGAACCGACTCAACCTCATCTCGGTGTCGCCGTCATCATCTATACTCAAGCATAAAAACTTTTGCCACCAATGTAAACGAGACTTAATCAAGTGCTCATTTTGTGGACCTAAATTGACAAGTTCGTGTTTGCACTTGTTTTCCCACTGTTTGATACGAACATTTGGTAATTGAGTAGTCATTCCGATTTTAACCAAGATATACGGTGAGCTTCGACTTTTAAAGTTAATCCATTTGTCTCGATTGCGTGTTGACGTGTTGGGGATGTTTTTGACTTTAAAGGTCCAGCCCTTGGGAGGCTGAAGGAAACTCTGCATCGTGTAGATGTAAATATATCCTCTTCCTCGTGACTTGTCAGAGATGGGTTTGTAATCGGTAAATGTGTCGAAATTGTAACCTCTTGGATGTGGTAATTGTCTTGGGTTGCCAAAGTGCATGCGGGACATGTTGGCTTCGGCATGTCGCGAGGCTGATAATGACTGTGCATCCATTTTTGATTCAAAGCTTTGAAATTGGCCAGGGATGGTAGGCTGTTCCTGTGGCGTATGTTGCCCATTCATTCTCTCACATTGTCTATATTGATCATGGTACTTCGACTTTTTACTATTTGGATTCGGAAGCTTTCGATGATCATCATGCCTTGATAAAGTACTGGCTTGAGATACGTGGTAGGAACAAAAACCGTGTTCAATCCTAACAGTCCGTCTACAGCGCTCCCCTTTCTGTGTGATACCACTGCACTGATAAACCTGCTTCATATGAAGTGCAATTGAAGTTTAAAAGGTGCTGTTGGTGGCAAAACATTGTGTACAATTGTGTTTTCTTTGCATCTTGTCCTGTTGTGTTTACATTTGATCCGTTAAAAATTCCTAATTAAGACAACTCGTAAACTCATTACACAGAACCAAAGAAAGACGAAGGTAAGTAATAGCATTTACGCTTTTCATCTCTTGCGGGTACATAACTTACATAGACCCTATTATTTGAAGAAATTTCTACTGACTCCTAGGCATGTTATCTGAATAGTGGTCAATGCAGTAATAAAATTGTCAAACAATTTGTTGCAAACTTGATGCAAATATCGAAACTTTGATGAAGTCATTGCATCGAAATATACTGATATCTCGTGCACACTCTCAGTATATAATCTGCAATCTCAATGGTTGCACTCTAGAACTCAGTCGATTCATTGCCGGTAAAGGCAAAAATTTTTCTAAGTTTATACGGCTTGTGTGTGAGCTGTTTTATTATTATTTGGCGGTTAAAAACTGTCACGTGCGATGAGACCAATTTACCGAAATGTTTCCAGGTTTGTGTAATTTTGGATTTGCGATTAATCCACAGTTTATATATCAACCCATTTCATGGAAAATTATATATGGAACCATGATCCACATCCATTGAAATAAAACAGCTCATTCTATTTTTTTATCACACATTTCTTCAACAATACTGTCTACATACAATGCCATCCCATTTCGATACACTTCAATTGCACGCTGGTCAACCAGTCGAAGCTCCACATAAAGCCAGAGCCCCACCAATCTATGCCACTAGTTCATATGTTTTCAACGACTCCAAACATGGTGCTCAATTGTTTGGTTTGGAAACCCCTGGATATATATACTCTAGGATTATGAATCCAACCAACGACGTATTTGAACAAAGAATTGCTGCCCTTGAAGGGGGTATCGGTGCATTGGCCACATCGTCCGGTCAAGCTGCTCAGTTATTGGCCATTGCTGGTTTAGCACATTCTGGTGACAACATTATTAGTACATCATACTTATACGGAGGTACTTATAACCAATTCAAAGTTGCCTTCAAGAGATTTGGAATCGAGACTAGGTTTGTCAATGGTGATAGCGTTGACGAATTTGCCAAATTGATTGACGACAAGACCAAGGCAATTTACTTGGAAAGTATTGGAAACCCAAAGTACAACGTTCCTGACTTTGAAAAGATTGTTAAATTAGCTCATGACCATGGAATTCCTGTTGTTGTTGACAATACCTTTGGTGCAGGTGGATTCTTGGTTAATCCTATTGCACATGGTGCTGATATTGTTGTTCATTCAGCTACCAAATGGATTGGTGGACATGGTACCACCATTGCCGGTGTCGTTGTTGACTCTGGTAAATTTCCATGGACAAAGTATCCTGAAAAGTATCCACAGTTTTCTAAACCTTCTGAAGGTTACCATGGGTTGATCTTGAACGATGCATTAAAAGAGAGTGCATATATTGGACATTTAAGAATTGAGTTGTTGCGTGATTTAGGCCCAGCTTTGAATCCATTCGGATCCTTTTTGCTTTTGCAAGGTTTGGAAACTTTGAGTTTGAGAGTGGAAAGACAAAGTGAGAATGCATTAAAGTTGGCCCAATGGTTGGAGCTGAACCCGCATGTTGACTCCGTTTCCTACGTTGGTTTGCCATCACACGAGTCTCACGAATTGGCCAAGAAATACTTTAACAACAATGCCAAGTTCTTTGGTGGTGCCTTGTCTTTCACAGTCAAGGATATAGAATCCACTTCTTCTGATCCATTTGACGAAGCCTCACCCAAGGTTGTTGACAATTTGAAAATTGCTTCAAACTTGGCAAACGTGGGTGATTCCAAGACTTTGGTTATAGCACCATATTTTACTACTCATCAACAATTGGATGAGGAAGAAAAGAAGGCATCTGGTGTATCTAAAGGATTAATCAGAGTATCAGTCGGTACTGAGTTTATAGACGATATCATAAACGATTTCGACCAAGCTTTTAAGAAGGTGTACGGAAACTAGATATAGGCTATAGCCAAATATATGACACATAATATCTAACGCTATCTCTTTTTATAGCCACATTGGAACAAGAGAGTCGCATAACAAGATGCAAGAAGAATATTCAAACTAACCCATTTATCAGTTTGGAAGGAAACTTTACCTATTTCGTACTGAGTTATCAATTGATCGATGTGGTCCCAGGTGAAATACGTCAATAAATATATTAGGTTCAAGCAAACACCACAGGCGGTCAATGTACCCAAACGTATTCGATAAAGTAAACTCGACAGTACTCCCACAAAGACAAACAAGATCACATCCAACACACCAATGACAAACAAGAAAGTAGGCAAACATATCCCGACAATAGCAAGCCATTTGACTAGTTTTCCATAAGCATTGTACAACTGTAACACACATGGAAATGTTGTGGTTGCACGATAGGAACAAGCCTGATTAATGCCGTTGTAATACAATTGGACAAACTGATTTTCAATAATTTGATCATTGCTTGCTGTTATGCTACGCAACTGGAAGCCAACATCTCGCAAAAGGCATACAATCAAGTTCAATCCATCAGTATAATAACAGCCCACTTTCTTTCCCATTTGATCTTTACGACAGTACCCAAATGTATTCAACAGGTAGGTGTTTCCATTGTACAAGGTGTCCATTTGTTGTAGTATTGAATCATTTGTTGTTTGATTCACAAACGAGCTTAAATCGTTGGACAAGTACGTGGCAAACTTGATTGATTGTTGAATCAACTCCAATGTGTTTTTAGCAAACTCTGAATGGGCTTCAATTTTGACTTCGATAGTTTTGGGCCCTTGTGGAACTAAGGGCGTGCATGTCATAAGTGATAGGAATGTAACGAATGCAAAAAAACCAAGGCAAAAGATTTCACCTAAAAGCCATAGAAGCCTCAGTGATTGTTCCCGTCTGTGATGCGTAAAATCTGATTTATTCTGGTAGTCGGCTTCGTGCATTGTTTGGTTATGCTAAAGGGGAAGAAGCGTTTCTGGTTGCAAAAGAAAAAAAATAAAATCAAAGTAAGAAAATAAAGTCAACATTAGACCGTATTAAAAAATCTATAAAAACTGTAACTGCTTGCGTGTACAATCTACTAGGAAGCCTTGGCCAATGCAAAGCACCTCTCCACACTTTGTTCATTATTTCCCCACCAGTTGGGCATGGTTATCGTTTTGCCTGACGAGAATATGATGAAAATCAACAATATGGCCAAGTTGTAACCAGTGTCAATAGCCGCAGCCAACAAGTAATTATACTTCTTCCACAAGTCATGCTTGTACCTGTACGCATAAAACATGGTTATGGTACCACCAACAAATTGAGAGAAGGGGCCCGTTGATATGTTACCGTAGAATGTCGACAATGTCGAAAAAAACACTGTGGTATTCCACAAGTTGAACTTTAGCTTTGATTTTGGAAACAACCTGTAAAGACCATATATGGCCACTGGTGCCAATGCACCTACTAAAAAGCCATAAGGCAACACTTGATAGTTTTTGAATAACCTCGTGGGTCCAAGAACAACGTATTGGATCGCATTTGTGTTGTAAGATACAATTTCTTGACCTGTCCATTGATGAAGCGTATCAACCTTTGTCCCATTAAGAAAGTCCATTTTTGACGACAAGACCCAGCGCAAAGCGGCATAGTTTATAGGAACACCAATCAATTCACCAAAAATTTGCGAAAAAAACACTGCTTTTGGTGGTAGATGCATATAGTGACCAATTTTTTGATCTTGTAATATGTATTGTGCTCTGTACCACGCATCACCGGCAATGGCACCGTAGACTGTTGCTCCTGCTGGATGTCTCAGGGCCTTACTTTGGATCATGTACCCATATAACAATTCATTAAATGTACCAATGGCAAGTTGGAAATTGGATAATGCGTATAACCACGCAAGGGGCGTAACAATAACCATTCCAAATGCCAACCCAACAATCATGCACCACCAGGGCATAAACAAACTATCAGTGGCGAGAATCACCAACAAAGTGATAAAGGATGCAACGAATAAAATCATGTACCAGTACAACGGCACTTCCTTATATGCACTTTGAAGTTTATTCAAACGATCAGTGTATTGCAAACTCAATGAGCCTTTTTCTTTTCTTGATGCAACCAACTTTTTGAACGAAACTGATAAGCTCTTGTAACCAAATACTACAACCCATGTGAATCCAGAAACGTATGCTGCATAGTCGAAAAACATATTCCAGGCTCTTTGAGCACCCAAATGAACATGTCCCAACTCTTCGTACCTTGTCTCATTCAATTGCAAGTCGGAAGTTAACAATTCGGTGGTTGGGTATTTGGTACCATTAGCCAAAAAAAGACTGTTTGACATCAAGCCAAATTTATAATTCGACAAACTACCCCATTTAACCAGAGGAATCAAGATCCAGGCACTGAGAATAAATGCAATAAACTGGATAACTTGGACCCAATAAGGATACAACATAATTGATGAGGTGATGTTGGACCAGTCCAACGTAATATTCATAAACCCCATACCACCTAAACCGGAGCCAATAAAATTTGCCGTGTAATTCTCTGGCGCGACCCAGCACAAGAAAGCCAAGGAGGAAGTCATTGGCCAAACATATTCAGGGAAGAAATGCCAAATGCAAACACCAATCAACACAAAGAAAAACACCCTCATTTGTTTTGAGCCTTGCTTTGAATCCGTATCAGACTTGTTCTGTGTTTGGAACAAAGTTGTTTGCACCAAAGCTTGTGGCCAGATGAATTGGGGATCATAAAGCAAGAAATTTCTGGCAATAGCAGCATAGGAATAACCCACAAACACAATGGTCCACATAAAGAAAATTGCCACTGCCGCATTAACTGTTTCGCCGTAGTATATTTCGGCCAACGATAATGCATTAAGCCCTTGTGATCCAGTAGCTCCCGAGCTTGCAGTTATTGTGATCATGGCCGTTTCCTTAATCGACCATGGTCCTGGGTTTAAACTAAATTTGAACCGACCAAAACCAACTTTTTTATCAGGTAACACCTTTGCTAACCATTTTCCGACCCAATGACAGGCAATCTGGACAAAGAAGATAGAATAGGCGGCTGACGTGGTACGGAAAGTGTTCATTGTGTCTATGAATGCACCAGGCACAATGAATATAATTGATAATAGGAAATATCTGAAAGTCAATACCGGTATAGTTGGGTCATCTTCTAAGGGCACAATCTCGCGGACAACTTTGGGCAATTCAGCAACATCTGGTTCCAATAATGATTCTTTACTAGTTGCTGGCTCGATATCAACATCAAAGTCAATATCACTCGATGTTTTTTTCACTTGGTCGTACGAGTGATCATCTACTTCATTCACCTTTTGTGTGATTTCAACAAGACCCAGATCTTTAGCCATGATGTAAAATCACTTAGAAGTGTATTGTTCTTGGCAATAATGGGAATATTAAAGTTCTATTATTTTCTAAGCGTACATGGGTTCCATTTTATACCATTGGTGAAACGAATGAAAAATGGGTTACTCCGAGTCGTAAATGAAACTGTAATGTAACACAACAATAAACCCCTGAACTTAAAATGCCGTGTTAAAGATTGACCACCGTTCATCATCTCACGTGCACCCGCCCCCTTGCTTGAAACAATGTCTTGTACCCAATGACTGTCCATTTTGAGCCATCTAAGAAAAGAGAATTACAATTTTGACATTGTGTCAAAATTACTAAAAAAAAACATATAACAAAAAAAAAAGAAATTTCACAAATAAATATACGGCAAAAGCGAACAATACCGCCACAATCGTTCAACACTTACTTTCATTGTTTTAAATATTTAATCTCCTAAAGCAACTCATTTTGATTTCTAATCAATCAATGCTCAAGCGCCACAGTTTTAAAAATAACTGTCCATGATCAGCACACAACTGCTTTATATCCCGTTATTTTGCGTCTATTGCCGTTGTAGACAATATGCCACATCCATATTGGCTCGTATCGGGATACCGATGACTTCGATGCGCATTGACTAGACTATCAATAAAATAGATACACCTGTAAGCTTCCACAGCGACAAGGAGCACCTTCCACACATGAAGTATATTCTTTTTCCTTCAATTAGCATTAAATTAAACTTCTAAATTTTTTATTTTTCACGTTGCTCTAAATACTGTTGATCAATTTACAAACCACCTCGGCAACACATAAACGACAAGGACGCCGAAATATCCAAATGCCAAACCCGACAATTTCTCAACAATAGAATGGAAATAAACATTAGTCATTAGCAACATAAACCACCACAATGCAACCAATCCAATCAACACAACTTGAGCTAATCCTCGCAAAAACTGATTCCTATTGACTAGCAAAGATCTTGGTTCAATTATATTTTGTTTCAACTGGCGCACAAAAGCGCTTAATTCGTCCCAATTGAACCAAGCAGCAGTTTCGAAATATAAATAAATCGACGAATGAATCATTAAAAATACATGTCCACTGGGATCGTACCCTCCCATCCACGATCCTTTGAATTTGCGACAATGGTACGAAGACACATGATTGCTTTTCCACACCAACGTCTCTAAATCTTGGATAAAATGTTGGCCTAATTGGTGGTTGGCTATAGTTGGAGGTGGTGTTGTTTGAGCAGTTGCTGGGTTGGGTTCAAGAGTACAAACACCTCCGGTAAGGACAAAGATCTTGTCCATTATCGGTAATCCAAAACACCATTGAGTAAACAAGATCCACCAGAATGTAACTAATACATACCTCACCACTGCTTTAAATAAGAATTCGACTCTCTTTTCTCGTTGGGTGTTGGAGCTATTACTTCTGGCCAATAATTTGGGAATGATAATGACGGCATAAAATACAATAAGAACAAAAGTGGTCCATCCCCATCCGCGTTTGACAAACACTGTATTGAAAAAGTTATGTTTATTGTTGTAATAGTTGTACACTTCTTCCTGGGGTGATGAATAATGGATCAATCGCGATAGTAAGAAGTTGAATATGAATGACGATAGGAAAAGAAACTCATTCAAAGTAATGTGGAATTTCGTTTGGAGTATGTGACGTAGGTCATTGATTTTTGAAGAGATCTGTTGTTCATGCTTGTCGTATATTGACAGCTCCTGTGTCGGTGATGTAGATGGTGACATGTTTGAAGTAAAAGACCTCTTTTTTGGTCAGAGATATCTGGTGAAATTATTTTCTTTTGATTGCCACGCACAACGAATCGTTTCGCCACTACCTGAGGTGGGTAGCGCATATCCTGTCAAATGGGGTAGGCATATAGTAACTGCAAAAAGGAAAGGAAAAGAAAAGAATCTACGTCACACATTTTGTTCCAACTCATAATTCATAAACTCTCTTCATTCATTCTAATAATTAAAAAAAATCAAAGCTATATAAACACATCTACACGTCAACTTTACTAGCAGCAAACTTTATAATAGGACCCATGAACTTACTCTTTGGATAAATAGATCCCATCAATGGCACAACACTACATCCAATAGCCACCTTGGCATCTTCCGTAGTAGGGCCAAAATCAATAAACGATACTTTTTCCCTCAATCCAATCTTGATCACTTCTTGCATCATGACAAAATACGCCTTGTATTTTTTGCTAATTTCATGATTCAAACCCTGGATATCCGACGTCATTGTCTCACCCAATCGGAAAATGACACACGAGGCAATGATTTCATCGTCAACTTTAAGGAAAAGCAAGGAACGGTAGTGGTTCTCATTGGAATAATTACCCAAGTTGTAAATAAACTCCCAATCGGGGTGAAGCAATTGTGATGATTGTCCATTCAGTTGACGACTATTGGCAATATGATCATTCATGACAATAATCTCTTGACAGTTTTCGAAATTAAATGTGTTGGATTCAATAACTTGTCCCTTGGCTTGTTTGAATGCATTTTCTTGGTTTCTGTACTTGATGGCTTTGAAAAATTCAGTGCTGCTTTGGTTAGCAAATGGTCGTAAATCGATAATATGACTATTGGGTAAATTGATTTTGACCCATCCCGAATAATCAACCCCTGCTTCAAATGTAGCATCTTTGTAAACTGGATCCAACAACACCGTACACTTTTCATTCGTCTTGTTCCACTCCGATATAGCATAAAGCACACTAGCACTTCTAGCGATTGGCTTCTTTGTTGCTGAGCAATAAAATGTCGATCTCTTGAATGGCCAGTGGAATCCTAATAAACCAAACTTGATACACAAAATGGGGAATTTCGCGTTTTTACCAAACATCTTGTTCATCTTTTTACCAATCCAGCCAGGAATACGTTCACTCAAGTCAAACTCTTCCACTACAGTCAACAAAACAAGGGCTTGAGTATTCATCAACTCTTGATAAAACTTTTCCGTATTATTCTCCAACGCTTGTAATTCCAATGCCGCTTTATCTTTTTTGTTCTTTTTAGCCAATTTTTTCAATTGGTTTTTACTCAATGGTTTAAACTGCTCTTCCAAGTCGTGGATAGAATCATCACTGCGTAAGGAAGGTGCATTCAGGAACAATACTGATTCCTTGTCTAGTTCGTCAAATGCTCGATACATTTTCCTCTTCTCGTCTTTATCATGATAATCATGGTTCACTTTGGTGGTGTCAGAGTCATTTGAGTCTTCAGATGTGCCATTATTTTTCTCTTTATTTTTTCCATTCTGCGTTGACTGTTGTTGTGAGAATGGATGTTGTTGCTGTTGCTGCTGTTGTTGTTGTTGTTGTTGTTGTTCTTGTGTTATTTTTTCACTCTTGTTAAACACCCGCAAGACTTTACATTTCATACCTGGCAAATCGGCATGAACATAGTTTTCCATTAGCGAAATCACATAATCACCGGAAATACCTGAATTGTACTTTTTGTTCAAATCAATCAATTTGCTCCATCCGTGCTTCTGATGAGGGGACAACCCACACAAGTCATACTCTTCGACTTCGTAATGAGTAGTCATTGTTCTCAACCGAAAGTACCTGGTACACAAAAACTCCAAAATCATGATTCCTAAACCACAGCCAAATAAAATTGGTACACTTACTGGGACTTCATTCAAGTCTTCCAACGGCTTGTAATCAAACTTGACACTGGCGATAGCCGTGCATGCAATGTACAATAATCCAAGGAAACAGATCAACAAGTCATAGGCAAAAATCAATCGTCCAATCAAAGGACTCAATCTATTCTTGTCATTAACCAACAAGGTGATCGTTTCACCCATTATGCTCTGACCAATGGTGAATGCACTACTGAGTATAAACAAGTTGTGCATTCTCTTTGCAAAACGATCATAAGAAATATTGATTAAATCGATATTGATCTGGATGATGGAAATACTAACCAATATTTGGATAAAGTTGATTGAGGCAAATAACAAGTAGACTGATGATATGTTGGTGGACCACCAGATACCCAACAAGGCACAGTTGAACAATAAACTAAACAAGCTGATGATCAAATAGGCAATTCTCTGAGCACTTGTCAAGTGTAAGCTTTGAACAGTCTCCTTGCCAAGGTCCAATGGATTAGAAATTTTACCCAGGGACAATCTCACCACATTCAAAATGCACATAACAAGAAGGAAAAGCCAAACGGCTTTTTTCAATACCTTGTCAATAAACCAGTACAAACTCTTGGACCAGTGGCGATTGACTTTGACTATATTGGGATGTCGCTCATAAATGACAATGAGAAAGATGAATGCGTCGCAACATAAACATGAAATGGGAATAAAGTTGGCAAGGTGGTAGCCTTTTGTGAGTTTGGTGTATAGTATGATGTCGGCCAAGTTGAATATAAAGGAATAAAGTACAATAGCAAGAGGGTGAACTATCCACCGTAGTTTTGGTTTTGGAAGTCTCTTGGCACTTAGCCTGTTGCTGTTTTGGTTGTTGCCGTTGTTATTGTTGTTGCTGTTGTTGTTATTATTGTTGTTATTATTGTTGATGTTATTGTTGATGTTATTGTTATTGTTGTTGTTGTTACTGTTTCCAGTCTTTGTTGCCGTATCCTGATCATCAGCTGTCTGTGGTAGTTTTATCTTTCTTTCAAACATTGTGTGTATCTCTATATGTGGCTGGTAGCTGTCAAATCGTTACGGCTGAAGCAAAAAAACGTAATAAATCTAATAGATACAAAAACGGTGTTGTTGTTGAGATTTTTGGATGTGGATCAGTTGTATGTTTCTTGTTTTGGTCTATGGGTCGTAATAGGAGCAGTAATTGGTATGTATGCTTATAGTATCATCAACGTGTGTGTTTTCTTGGTCAAAGTGATAGTTGCTGTTTTCTGACTGATTTTGTATATTATGTATATTATGTATATATTGTCTCTAAGTCTCTCTTAATTGCTGAAAGGGTTGCCAGGAGAAAAAAAAGAAATTTAAGATTCTCAGTCTTTCCACTTCCCCTTGAATTATTTTCTTTTTTTAAACCTGATTATCCGAGGAATAAAATAATATTCTATAATACTATGCTTGAACTGAAAAGTAGCAAGGTTGTATATAAATTCCTTCTTTTGTTGCTTTCAATAGAAGCCAAGAATAAAAAATTGTGAAATTGTGTCAATAACGTCAAGAGAAGGAAAAAGGAAGGGAAATAGAAACGATGTAAAATTAAACGATGTAAAAAGGAGGAAATCAGATCGTTTATAAAACATCAGGTAAGGAGTTTGGGTCAGCTCCTTGTGACTAAAACCCAATAATACAAAGGAGTAAGAAAATGTATAAAGTTCATAACCTCCAGTACAAACTATTAATAGCACAATGTACATTTATGACTGACTGACTGACTTTAGACAATAGGAGTAAAAATACGTTTCTGTGTGAGTTAGTAATACTCTTATGCGTATTTAAATCTGTGGAATGATGATGTTATATGCATAATGCATGTGTCTTCTCAAAAGAATATATCTATTAGTAATACACCTTTCACTCACACTCATAACACATAAAACATAAAACATCAGTATTACCAACTGCAACTTACGATCAATATCGAAGTTGTACTTCTATATTCCAAAACTGCAAACACTTGTGTACTTTTGTTTAAAGGTTTTGTAAAATTCTAAAAATAAATGAAACTGTGACTTCTCTCGCCAGTAATTTAAGTCTGTATTGTTTTTTATTTTTCTCCATCCGCCGTATCACTGCCCCGCGCGTAACCCGTCTTAATTGAATAACACCCTACTACGCCATAATATGATGCTATTTATAGACTATAATCCCCGTCACCTTGAACTACGCCTTTGAATTGTTCATCGCCCCCTAGATGGTGATATTTATAGATATTGAAAAACAAAAATAGACAAGCCAGTCAGAGGTTCCCCCCGTATCTTCTCATATACTCACCAGCTACAACGTCCGCATCGGATTCCCGGGTATCGAGAAAAATAAAAATAAAACAAAAAGAATGGTGTTCATAACTTTGGCATATTTTGTGGTGGCTTCGTACATATATGCATATTACGAGACACTACCCAACAATATATGGAAACACGACAATAATTGAACGAACGTATCTTTCCCCTTTAACTATTGTATTCTCTTTTCCAGTTACCTTCATGCATAAACTAGATTGAAGAACAAAAAATGTGTACTAGGAGGAATTAATGCGTTTGAAATATATATATATATGCCCAATTATCAATCAACAATAAAGAAAAACCTCCTGAAGAAACCCACAAAAGGATAGTTTACAATGCAATGACTCAAAAAAGAGGCTTGTATGGAAAGATATTCCTTTTCCATGACTTGGATCAGAGCATACGCAGAATCCGAAAAACCCTTCTCTCTCTCTTTCTGAAGCGTAAATGGCCATATGTTTACTTTCTACTGCACTAGCTGGTTATGCTGCAAGAACTGTACCGATTGTTTACAAAGAAAAACAGGTTACTGTAACTTTAACTTGACACTATTTGAAAGGGAGCCTGAGAATAGGTAATGATGTTGTAATTCCGTACTAAACAAACGCCATTACCAATACGCAAGATCGGGTATTACTCAGTGTACTTTTATAGCATATTCCATCTGTTTTAATTTTTACATCCGACTGTTTTGTAAAATAGCGCATACACAAAACCCGAAAAGAATAAAAGAAATATAAAAGAAGAAAAAAAAGAAATTCACAAAAGACCCTTCGTGCAATAAACGCGACTTCTATTACGTTTGCTTCTACTATTGCTATGAATACGCGAGAGTGTAAGCATTTGCATCATACGTCTCTCGATACTACCGGCATTGCATAATGTGTCACAACTATACTTCGCGTTTCTGTATAACAAAACAATTTAACAGCCAGCACTTCTGGTATTGTAAACAAAAGCTTTTCTTCACTTCCATTGGATCTCTCGGAAAATCGACTGGTAGCGAAACTTTTTTTTATAACCCTCTAAGGGGAAGAAACCCTCAGATCTTTTTTGATGTTTATGCTCTGATTTATGAGATATAGTGTTTGTGGAAACATGGTTCAAACGTGGCTGTATGCAGAATCGAGTTCTAATCGATAGCGAGAACTCTGATATGAGTGA